TTATCCACCTGACAACTTACAAACCTGTTTCTCCACATGTCTTCTTGTGCACTTATTCAGGACATTGTGATTTACAGCTAGGATCTCATCTGTGCACCTTTTCACATATCCAATTTCAGCACACCCTTAATCAGTTGTCTCCTGAGACATGCTTGATAAGGGGGCAATGAGTCTGACAATCCCCACCCTCAATGGTACCCCAGAACCCACCTATCACCCAACCTACCTGTTTCTCCACGGGATCCGCCTGCCAACCCAACACATGCCCGATGAGCTTCTCATTATAATAGTTGCTCAGCGACGCTGTCAACTTGGCAGTCTCCTCTCGTTTTATAGCCGCAGCCGTCAGTGCCTGGGTTGTGACAGTTGCATTCTGGGAGCTTGAATCGCTCGGCGTGGGGCTGCCACTGGAAGAGAAGAAATTATCCCGATAAACAAATCATTAGAAGTCTCAAACAAGAAGTACAAACAGAAAAACACATCAACATATAAAGTGAAGTTCAAAGGTTAATTCTGAGGCAGAATTACTAACATGATTTTCCTAGCCCTATATGACACATCAACATATAAAGTGAAGTTCAAAGGTTAATTCTGAGGCAGAATTACTAACATGACTTTCCTAGCCCTATAGACGATAACATATATCTTTTTAGAAATAGCACCCCCCTCCCCTCCCAGATTTATCACAATTACTATGGTTAGAAATGTGCACATTCCTGTGCTTGTATTTACTGTTTAGCTACTGTTGATAATAGTTTAGTGCTTTATCAATATCCTACCTCAGATGACATCACAGGACAGCCAACATTTTAGAAAGTGGTAAGAGTAGGTTTCCCGGATTTCTGATGCTTGTAACGACCCCAAAACATCTAGAACTGGCCCTAACCCCAACCCACCAACGTCCCACGAGAGAGTGCAGCCTAGGTCCCACGAATGCATGCAGCCTACCACCCCCTGAAATATTAAACTGTCCCATGACCTGTGGATTTTCCCCTGTTTGGGAAATGGATATATAAAGCACGGAATGTTTAATATTACTTGATATATGTATGAGTATAGTATGAAAGAAGAGAGTTGAATGTTAGATGGCAGTGCATACCCGATTCTTAATTCTTTGAAAAATAAGGTTCTCCCCAGATTTACCCAAAACAGGATATTTCTATGAGATTCCCTAAGGTTATAACCCCTGGCTTTGATGCTGGCCAGACACTGGCACTCACTGAAAGATTTCTATAGATTCCTAAATGAGCCGACTGTACAGTACACATTTGTAGGTGTGCATTGTTAACCCGTGAACTAGTTTGCCCACGCCCATCTTAGCCACATGGCTATGATGAGAGACCAAGAGTGCTGGGCTGGACCCCATCCATGATACTGAAACAACCGCACAGGACAAAACAATTCTTATCTATGGTTTCAGACCAATGAAGAGATTGGGCCCTCACATAACAATCTAAACAATAGCAAGTAGTGGGTGCACTGCAAATTATCTCTACCCTGTAGCGAACACCATAAAAAAAAAAAATCTAGACTGTTTGGGGAAAAAAACCTGCATAGTTATGCAAAATGGAAGAAGAAACTGCAAACTGTGATACATAAGGCAGAACAAGATGACGATGATGACAAAAAATGTCAGTACTCATATAAGCTATAGTAGACAACGCAAATGTACACACACACACAGAGAAGAGATTAAAATATGCCATTACCAGGAACTCGGAGAGCTTGTAGCAGAAACTGGGCTGGTCCTGCCCCCTAACCCGTCCTCTGCCTGTGCCCCGGGCCCCATGCCTGCTGTGGCCTGATGTCCCTGGTAGGATGGGTGTGAGAGAATGCCTGCTGAGGTAGAGGATACCATGGAGGAGGAACCCTGGCCAGCAGTTGACATCAGGTGTTGCGGTGATGTTCCTTGGTGAGAAGACATGGGTACAGACGGGTGACGGCCTTGAGGTGCTGCTGCACCGGGCCCTAAAATAACCATGAAACATCACTTTAAGAGAAGCTTTTTAAAGAGATTGTGAGTGATGCTTACATTGCTACTGCAATTGTGTTTGAGCTAGAAGATATATGTTTGTAAGCCAGGTCTTTGTAAATTGCCAGCACTGTGGTCTATCAACAGTCAGGTTTATATAACCCGTCTGTTCTGTGATCTATCAACAGTCAGGTTTATATAACCTGTCTGTTCTGTGATCTATCAACAATCAGATTTATGTAAGCAGACTGCACTGTGATTTATTTATCAAGTAAGATCTATATAAATTTCCTGCAATGTGATCTACCAACAGTCAGATCTATATAAACTGACTGATCTGTGGCCTATCAACGGTCAAGTCTATGTAAACAATGCCTATGTAACTGTCTGCTGTGTGATCTACCAACAGTCAAGTCTATTTAAACTATGTCTATGTAACTGTCTGCTGTGTGATCTACCAACAGTCAGATCTATATAAACTGACTGATCTGTGATTTACCAACAGTCAAGTCTATTTTAACTATGTCTATGTAACTGTCTGCTGTGTGATCTACCAACAGTCAGATCTATATAAACTGACTGATCTGTGACCTACCAACAGTGAAGTCTATGTAAACTATGCCTATGTAACTGTTTGCTGTGTGATCTACCAACAGTCAGATCTATATATACTGACTGATCTGTGACCTATCAACCGTCAAGCCTATGTAAACTATGCCTATGTAACTGTCTGCTGTGTGATCTACCAACAGTCAAGTCTATGTAAACTATGCCTATGTAACTGTCTGCGGTGTGATCTACCAACAGTCTGATCTATATCAACCTCCTGCAATACAATCTATCAAAAGTCGAGTTGACAAAAACTCCCACTCCTGCAATACAATCTATCAAAAGTGGAGTTGACAAAAACTCCCACTCCTGCAATACAATCTACCAAGTGGAGTTGACAAAAACTCCCACTCCTGCAATACAATCTATCAAGTAGAGTTGACAAAAACTCCCACTCCTGCAATACAATCTATCAAAAGTCGAGTTGACAAAAACTCCCACTCCTGCAATACAATCTACCAAGTGGAGTTGACAAAAACTCCCACTCCTGCAATACAATCTATCAAGTAGAGTTGACAAAAACTCCCACTCCTGCAATACAATCTATCAAAAGTCGAGTTGACAAAAACTCCCACTCCTGCAATACAATCTATCAAGTAAAGTTGACAAAAACTCCCACTCCTGCAATACAATCTATCAAGTGGAGTTGACAAAAACTCCCACTACTGCAATACAATCTATCAAGTGGAGTTGACAAAAAATCCCACTCCTGCAATACAATCTATCAAAAGTCGAGTTGACAAAAACTCCCACTCCTGCAATACAATCTATCAAAAGTCGAGTTGACAAAAACTCCCACTCCTGCAATACAATCTATCAAAAGTCGAGCTGACAAAAACTCCCACTCCTGCAATACAATCTATCAAAAGTCGAGCTGACAAAAAAACTCCCACTCCTGCAATACATAATCAATATGTAACTGCAGTCATGACACTGGGCCACACTTTGTGAAAATGCTGAGTTCATCAAAAGCATTCAACAGTTAGCAGGGACTAATCAACACACAAAAGATTTGAGTCTGGTATTCCATGCATGATGTGCCTGTTACTGGTGTGATCTACAGGTCTCCAGTTAGCACACACAACAAGTGACAAAACAGGACAAAAACACATCAGGTCCATGCTACTTTACAAAAATGTATCACTGCTGCAGGTATACCAAACATGAACATCATCATCTTCTGATTTTACTAGCTATAAACTCTGACGGAAAGCTCTGGCTGTTAGTCCACCTCCAGAATTTGAGTTTTGCGTGCATATCTATTTTACAGGTATGGCTTAATTTTGTGTAGACAGATGCACATCAGCTTGCAAGGATGCCCTCCCAGTTAGCTGACTCCTACGACATGCTACCTGAGTAGGCAGTAGGTCTATTCTTGTTTTCTCCACAATGGGGCCCTGGAACCCACATGGGGAAATATGAATTTGTCTCACTAGACCAGTTTTCTTTAATCTAAGACAGCCAACTGGACTTCATACATTAAAAGGCTATCTATGTTTAGTGTTGCTTTCTCATGAGATCAGTTTCTTTAAGACAATAGACTGATTTTAATACATAAAAAAGCTATCTACATTTAGTGTGGCCCTATGGCCTACAGGTAGGTGAAAGTTTTTCACAATCTAATCTTTAAAGTACTAGGGTTCCTCCTCCTCCTCCTCTTTGCATTCACCGGCTGTAAACTCTGGTGGAAAGTTATAGTTCTGGACTTTTAGTCTTCTTCCAGAGCATGAGTTTTGTGTGCAGATCCATTTTACATTTTATCTGCATGCAGACTGTTGATTCCTCACCTCTCAGGTGACATCCCTAATGTCGATCCTGGAGGTGACTGTCAGTGAACAGGAAGAAGATTATAATGGTCTGTTTATTTCATGTGGAGGTTGACTGGGTCTTCAGAACTGTGTTCTAAATGGGTGCCTTAATCTGTGTACATCCTGTATCTGTCTGTTCTGCATAACTTCTAAATGTGGGGCTAACAACTGTCGGGCACTAAAAGAGTTAAACATAAGTGCACGCTGAGTTGACCGGGAAGCCCTAGGTCAACTAAAAAAATCTGCCTCACTGTGGATAGGAACCCAAAAACTTCAGACTGGAAGGTAAATGTCTGCTGTATATTAATTAAGGTGCTGTTAAGAAAGCACCATTACACCAACAGTGTTATCTGAGTTGAAGTGGCCAAGCTGTCTGTCTTGTGCCACAAAGGTTATGGATTCAATTCAAGGATGCATTTATCCATTCCCGAGTTAAGTTTTTATGGACAGCTCCAGGGATTGTTGATGGAGCTGCGGAGTTATGCTTTGTGCAACACTCTAGACCTCCTGTGGAGAGACAGACCCAGCCATACAATATAAAAGACAGTGCAATGAAATCGATACTGTAATATTACAGGAACACAGAAAAAGCAAGAGATGCTGAAACTTACTGATATTTGTGGTATTCTGCTGAGCTCTAATATGCATACTGAGAACCTTTTGTAGCTCTTGGAGTGTTTGTATTGCTGTTTAAAAACAATCACAAGCCGTTATTTGGTGAATTAATACAAAAACACACAGAGAGGTGGTTATTTAACACAAGCATATCAACAGGTCACTCAAGTACACATCATTAGGTTTAACTGGCAGCAATCAGGAAATCACAAACACAAATATGACAGAATATGTACTTCATGTACAATAATACGTAAAAGAACAGGGAAATCATGTATAACACAGACAAGGTCAACTTTAAACCCGAAATATGTAAAAGAAGAAAGGGTGGACATGAAGGGCTATATTAGGGTACTTCCTGTGTCAGTTCTGGGGCCCCATTGGGGTGAAATAAACCCAATGCCCCCATAACAAGCATGCTGTAAAAGGTCACCCACTAATTAGGGGCTCTGGCTTCGAAGTCAGAGTACATCTGCCTGAGAAGCGTGGAACCACTAGTCTGCACACAAGCCAGATCTGTAAAACTGATGTGCACACAAAGCTAAAGTTCTGGATCAAGACCAGAGTTTAGAATTAGATGAAGAACCAGAACACTGCGCTGGAGTTTATAAGCCATGAACGTTCAAAACAGAGAAAGATATTAGGGACTGAAACAAATAAGGTGTCTCCCTTTGTGTGGGTCCCTAGTCTCCATTTTGGAGCATATCATAAAACACAACCAATTACGATGTTACTGAAATCGAATGTGTTGGTGGAAAGGTGCAGCCTAGCTGTAAACAACACAATGTGCCAACCAATCTTTCAAGGCAAATGCAAATAAAGAAGGCATCTGGAACAATGGAGGAGATATATAAACTAGGTTAGTTGTGTATCCTTGACAGGACGTTGCAGAACCAACCCCTAGCAGCTGTGTGGTTTCTCTAGGCAAATTTACATCTAGTAGTTTGCCACTACTTCTGGACGGTCGGCCTCCTGTTACACTGTCGAAACCAACGCAAGGCGCATGGCCAGCAGCTGGGATCGAACCCTTCACCCCGGTAATACGAAGCATTCGCATCAACTTAGCCACAGAGCCGACAGATATATCATCATCATCATCATGTAGCAGGTCCTTTGCAGAACGTCGCTCTCATCACACTCTGCCTGACAGAAACTCGGTCTCTCGCCAGTTCTCCCGCCTCATGTACTTTCATACTCAAGGAGTCACTTATAACCCGTGTCCATCTTTGTGCCGGTCGGCCCCTGTCCCTCCTTCCTGGTACCATGCTTTCTGCTATAATTTTGTTCCAATCCGTCGTGGCGCTTGATATGACCTAAATATTTCAGCTTCCGACAGATTTATTAACTAGTTAAATAAATGATATGGACACAGCCAAGCTGTAGCTGAGGGTGGAATCATTTGCATGAGAGCAACTGTCCGGTGCCTACAGTATGTTCTTGCATGCGGGGATCAACCACAGCAACTCACACATCCACCTGAGTGGGGGGCACGCGGGAACAGCAAAAGCACATGAGTGAGGTGGAGCTGTAGTCACGCTAGCAGGATGATCAGAACCACACAGGCAGCAGAAGAGGAGATCAAACTCTTATCTCTAGTCAACCAGTTCTCCAAGCTGTAACACAGAGTAGGATACCTTTAATGCGCACACCGCATAGAATTTAAGTAGGACAACCATTGTAAAGGGTGAGCCGCCACTGTGTAGCAACCAGGTAATTAGGTAAAAGGTAATAGAATCTAAAGATTAACAGTTTCAAATAAAGAGACTGATACATAAGTGAAAGGAAGGAGTAGGCATGTGCATTCTTAGGCATGGATAGCAGTACTGCTGATAAAATTATTTTTTAAAAAGTAAGATAAGTACAAAACTTCATATGTGTAAAAAAAAATCTTTGTGAATGTCTAACATTCTTGAATGTGGCGTCATTTTAATATTTTGTTGTTGCAATCTTCATTATCCTGTGGTGACATTATATGTGACTTAGGGCTCAAAAGTCTATTCCTCCATTCCGCTCTATCTTGTGCAATCAGTTCAATATCAAGGACTGAATCCAGTCCAACAACTCTGGCCTCTCTCATAAATGTATATCTTAGGGCTTCATCCTCTTAATCCCTTTATTTCTCACTGTAATGCCTGTTTGGTGATTCTCTGCTGGTTTCTCCTGTCTGGTGATTCTCTGCTGGTTTCCCCTGTTTGGTGATTCTCTGCTGGTTTCTCCTGTCTGGTGATTCTTTGCTGGTTTCTCCTGTCTGGTGATTCTCTGCTGGTTTCTCCTGTCTGGTGATTTTCTGCTGGTTTCTCCTGTCTGGTGATTCTCTGCTGGTTTCTCCTGTCTGGTGATTCTCTGCTGGTTTCTCCTGTCTGGTGATTCTCTGCTGGTTTCTCCTGTCTGGTGATTCTCTGCTGGTTTCTCCTGTCTGGTGATTCTCTGCTGGTTTCTCCTGTTTGGTGATTCTCTGCTGGTTTCTCCTGTCTGGTGATTCTCTGCTGGTTTCTCCTGTCTGGTGATTCTCTGCTGGTTTCTCCTGTCTGGTGATTCTCTGCTGGTTTCTCCTGTTTAGGATTCTCCTCTCTGCTGGTTTCTCCTGTCTGGTGATTCTCCTGTCTGGTGATTCTCTGCTGGTTTCTCCTGTCTGGTGATTCTCTGCTGGTTTCTCCTGTCTAGTGATTATCTGCTGGTTTCTCCTGTCTGGTGGTTTTTTGCTCATTTCTCCTGTTTGGGATTCTCTGCTGGTGTCTCCTGTTTGGGATTCTCTGCTGGTGTCTCCTGTCTGGTGATTCTCTGCTGGTTTCTCCTGTCTGGTGATTCTCTGCTGGTGTCTCCTGTTTAAGATTCTCAGCTGGTGTCTCCTGTCTGGTGATTCTCTGCTGGTGTCTCCTGTTTAAGATTCTCTGCTGGTGTCTCCTGTCTGGGATTCTCTGCTGGTTTCTCCTGTTTAGGATACTCTGCTGGTTTCATCTCATGATGTGCCTAATGTGGTGCCATGTTGATGCAGTACGAATCCTATAAAATTAAGGTGTATTTACTTCTCTTTAATCTGATATATTATTTGTCACTATCCAGTCAATGCAGGAAGGTTTAAAAAAAAATTCTGCTTAAAATTAATTATTCCCAACCCTCCAAAAATACCGGCCTAAAAGAGTTAAATGGCAGAATGACTTGTACAGCAAGCAAAAGATAACAGTGTAGAAAAGAACAAAAAATGCGTTAGGAGTTAAGAACTGGACACACAACAGCCTAATTTAACATTTCTCCCCTTCTAAACTTACTTTTATCATAGGAGCCTCCTTCGTTGACTGTCTGTCTATTCACAAGTGTTGGGATAGGGTTGCCTAGAGGAGGGGAGGAGCGATGGCTTCCAGGTGTGGTGGTAATGTGGGCTGGGGTGGATGAGGATGCGATGGGTGTACTGGTAGGAGGTAACTGTGGGGTGCCTGTGGTTGAGGAAGGTCGTGATGAGGAGGGTGATGGAGAGGGAGAGGGGGAAATGTCCATATCATCTACAGGCCCCTGTCCTGTATCTGTACAAAAAGTAAAGAAACATTCTTTTCAGCAAACATATATCAATTCACACAAAAATTAGGTCATACATACAAAAATGTCAATATATGTGTATTGTATAATGAAGTGACAAAGTCCGCAATCAGACAATACATCAAGATCTTGATACCCAGCCCTTACTAACCCAAGTAGATCAGTCAGTTACGATGGTTTGAACATGTATGCAGAATGGGAGAAAATCGGACACCATGGCAAGCATGGGAGACTAAGAACCAGGGAACCAGACCTCCGGGACGACCCAGGGTGCGCTGGGAAGACAACATCCAACAGTCCCTAACTGACAAGAGGACTGGAATGGAACAAAGCCAGAAAGAAAACTGCTGACAGACACGTCTGGCGATCTCTCTGGCAAACCTCTACACCCCAAGGTAAAAGAGGAGCGACTAAGTAAGTATAATGAAGTAAAAGTCAAATGTCAGCCCACAATGAAAATAAATGATGAATATATTGAAAATGCCACACACTTTTAATAATAAACGACAACTGATATTGTTCAATAGAAAGAACTAAACCCTGCCACCTAGAGTAACAGCAAAATCAACATTTCCAGTTAGGTCGGTCCAACTTAACACAAAAGTGGCTTTACAGAATTTTCTAGGCAAAGGGTTCACTTTACTAGATGCATAGTTAATGTAATTAGCTGTCTTCAGGCCCGCACATTATTTAGGTTGTGAATACGCCGACTGAAATAGCATTCAAGAAAGTTTTCTTATGAAGCATATGGCCTGTTTAAACGCCATGTTCTATCAACATCCAAACCCATCAACATTACACACAGGCTCTCTGCTTGGAGCAGCACCTGCCTGAGCTAACATAATAGATTCCTGGTGTTAAGAAAAGAACACTCAGAATAAAACAGAAAGAAGGAAAATCACATTAAACTACACAGAAGAACAATACCCAAGTAACACGTGGACTCATGCATATACAGATGGATCAGAAAAAAAAAAAAAAAAAAAAACCCACAGAAAATGGAGGTGGGAGAATTGTTCTGAATCTGAAAAATAGATTAAAGAAAAAGTCAGTTGCAACTGGAAAATTCTAAGGTAATTTTAGGGCAGAGGCCTTGTGAGCTGCAGCAGAAATGCTTCTTTCAGAGAAAATTGTCACTGTACTGAAGAGCAAAATTAATACAGAATTAGCAGACCTTAGAGCCACACTTCATGGACTTAGTCTGAAATCAAAAAGAGTCGTAGCACAATGGATTCCATCCCATTGCAATAGACCTGGAAATGAAGAGGCTGACAGATTGACAAAGGAAGGTGGAAAACTACACCAGTCGGATACAAACATAACATATGATAAGGACAAGAAGTTTATAAGAAGTACATACAGTGGCCAAAGTTTCACTGGCACCTTTCCGTCTTTCCAGATGACAGTGTTATATTGCGCTATGAGGAGACATGGGACTCACAGCCCATGGCGATAGCGAGTGTGACTAGCAAGACCCGCCCGTGTCAAGAAAAGTCTTCCACAAGGATATCATGGGATTTCAGGACCATTGTTGTCAACATTGTGTTTAACCCGTTTCTTTTCAGACGCTCAGTTCTCATCCTTTCTGCAATCATTTCTTCCTTCAGTCTCATTCCCTTCCTGATATTTGCCCTTTCCACACAACACGGTACATGGCATTTTACTCTCATGAGTCCGCCTCAATACCTGTATCATTCATGTCCTGCTTGCACACATCTTTATATCGTAGTAGAGGTCAGCCTCGACATCTTCCTGTCTTTAATTCACCATAAAGGATGTCCTTAGTGACTCTGCCATCCATCATTCACCAGGTGTGACCCAGCCACCTGAGCCTTCATAGACTGAGCAGGAAAAAGACTGTTGCAGTACCTGCTCTTTCCAGCACCTCAGTGTTTGTGATTTTGTCCTGCCACTTAATGCCAAGTATTCTTCTTAGGCATCGCATGTGAAAGCTATCAAGCCGTCTCTCCCGGTGCAAATAGATTAAATAAGTTTCACTGCCATAAAGCAGAGTGCTGAGAACACAAGCCTGATAAACAAGGGTTTTTGTTTTAATTGTGAACTTTCTGTTCTCCGAAACTCTCTTTGTCAATCTGCTCATTGTTGTTGCTGCCTTACCTATCCTGATGTTGATTTCTTGGCCAAGCGATAGCTTACTATTCACTGTGGAACCCAGACAGGTAAAATGGTCTACTGTCTCCAGCTCTTCACCGTCAATGTGGACTGTAGGTCTGTCATTAACACCTTGCACCATAACCTTTGTCTTTTTGCTGACTGTTGGTCCAAATTCACAGCATGCATCAGCAAAGGCAGATAGTAAACATTGCAGCTTCTCCTCTAAGTGGGTGGTTATTGTGGCATCATCTGCAAACAGCAGCTCTCTGATCAGTACCTTTCTTGTCCTGGTTTTGGCCTTCAGACTGCGACCATTGTAAAGGCTGCCGTCATATCGAGAATGAATGAAAATACCACCCTCCTGATCTCGAAAGGCATGTGTCAAAAGTGAAAAGTTTATTCCAAAGAGGGTAGGAGCAAGTACACACCCCTGCTTCACTCCATTTTTGATCACAAACTCCTCTGATGTTACACCATCAAAGTTGATTGTAACTTTCATACCTGTGTGGAAGGACTCAATAATGTTCAGTAGAGTAGGTGGACACCTAATCTTCTTCAGTGTGTTGAACAGACCTTTTCGACTAACCAAATCAAATAAATGCCTTGGTAAGATCAATAAAAGCAACATACAGTGGTTGATTATAATGAATTCCAGAGAAATTTGACTAAAAAGCTCAACAAAATGGGAAAGAGGAAAACGTGCACAAAACAACACAACGTATTGTAAATAGCCCTGACCACAGCGGTAAAGATGACATATCTGTCACAGCATTAAAATCTTGCTCTGTCGATCATACTACCCGCCTCGCTTTGGAAAACCGCCTTATCCACAGCCTTGGCGTTCTTAGTCCAAGAGGTATCAATATCCAACATACCTTCATCTAAATAGTTCTAATCTTATCACATTTTAAATGTTAATTATTTTATTTTATTTCATATTATTACCATATTCTATTTCTTATCAATATCATTTATGTATCATTAACACTTGCATTTCTTTTATTCCCAGTATTGTGACTATATTTTTAGCCATCGTTTATTTTATTTTATTTCATTTATTCCGCATCACATTTTTAAACGTCGCTCTTACGTTGTGTTGTTTTGTGCACGTTTTCCTCTTTCCCATTTTGTTGAGCTTTTTAGTCAAATTTCTCTGGAATTCATTGCATTAGCTTGACTGCAGTCACCCCCATAGTTTCACCATTAGTTGTTGATTATGTTCGCTGCATTTTTCCTTAAACTGTCGTAATGAAAATATCATCGGTTCCCACGAAAGCCACACCGGGACTCTGGGTAAACGCGATCTCCCAGGATCTGGAGTCTTTGCAGAACAATTCTCGCAAGCACTTTCCCAACAGTACACAAGAAGGATGATGAATACTACCAACTTGGTCGAAGAGAACAAGCAGTGATCGTTAGAAAAAGGAAACAGTAGTCTAAAACATCACTTATTCAAAAAGCTAAAGATAGGAGACACTGTAACTGCAGAAAGGGTAAAACGACGGCTAAACACTTGCTGCAAGAGTGTCCAACATATGCAGAACAGAGAAAAATTATTCGGCTGACACCTGCTCATTTTGAGGACAAACTTTGTGAAGGCGTCAACAATCCCAAGTTGACTGCTGATTTCCTTACATATGATCACAGTGACATCTGCAGGTATAAGAAACAGAAAACTGTCAGGAATTCTCAGAGCTGATAGTCCCCAGAGATAAACCATGACATGGTAAGAAAATGAAACAGACCCATCTGTATTATCCTACTGGATGACCCTAGTCATCTATGAGGGAAATGTCACATCAAACTATACTGGGCGCAGAAGTCCACCACAGTAAAAGAGGCCAAGTTCATATTCTGCCCCTGCCGTCTCTTGAGGGCGGACCAGCATTACGAGGTTTTTCTGGACCAGCCTGATATGGGGCACCACCTGTGACCTGGGAAACAGAGATGACCACACAATAAGACCGCAGTGTCCCACGAAACTAACCAGGAAGGCTAAACTGGTCAATAAATGCCAGCAGAAGTCGGATGAGTTTCACCGAAAGGTGTAAATATCACAGCCATTCTGAAAACGGGCACAACGCAATTATATCTTTGGATGAATGCAAAAGAAAAGCCATGTTCAGGTTAAATCATCCCGTAGCTTCTGTGATATGTACATTTTTAAGGCCCTGGGAAATGCATTCCATTTTATGTTTCACTCTGTTTATCTTTACTGATTAGACCGTTATATATTTCACACACAAAAATTGTATTAAAGAAATGTATACAGAAAAATGTATTAGTGACCTGTGCGGAATGACCGTTTTTAAAGGATTCTGTGGCGGGTATTCCCAGGGGCTCATGGCCTTTTCCCAAAGTGTCCCAAGACAATGGCCCTCAAATGCAAAGAATAAAGGTTAAACAGCTAGGGCTAAGTGCCAGCAAGCAAATAAGTCATAATGGCTGTGTGGATTCAAGTGCCTCTTTTGAAGGGGAAACAAGACTAGAGCCACTGCTGTAAACACTAGACATCATCTGCCTTCTTTAAGGCAAACATAGAAGCAGAAGAAGGATCAACATTTTGAGAGCAAACATACCCCCTCTAGAACATACTGATGTGAGACGCACACTACCTCACAATTACTAGCAAAAAGATGTGTGGGTTTTAAGCTGAAATGCTTCAAAAATATTCTTAGAAATTCAAGGACTAGAAAGAAAAAGAAAACACTGACCTATTTAAAGATCTAAACACTGAGGACAACTGACCATAAGCAGCCTCATGTCCTGGAAGCTGCAATACTCTGATCACATCAAACATCATGGCGGCATGGAAGACAAGCAGTAATGGAGGGCCTGGCAACAGATTAGAGAGGCAGAGGCCGACCGGTACTAAAAGAATGGGCACAAAATAAAACAGCCACCTTGGGCAGGAAAGTGCAGGAGGCAACGAGGGCCAGATTGTCAGGTAGGCTGTGAGGTGACTGACATTCTGTAAAGGACCCGTGACATGACGACGATATTAACTGCCATTTTGTCCTACATTGAATTGCTTCTGATAACATGAAGTCTTTGGATAGTGGCCACTACGTCTATATAACAACTTTAGTACTGGCTGTAACTGCACAGTGTATAGATATGGCTATGACTATATTTACACTCACAATTTTTTTGTTTGGGGTGGGGGGGGGGGGGGGGATATTACTGATATAAAAAAAATATATTTTAGTGTGGTGTGTGTAAAATAGTGATGTCACTGAAGAAGATTGTAACATCATAATAAATAATTCTGCATGAAAATATTTTTAAAAAAAATGTATATGAATTCGAAGTCATTTGATGATCGCGATGTATATGTGAATGTCACACTGCTTGTTTGCTTTGTCGTCTAGGTTTAGGGGTTCCACTCTTTACAATTTTATAGTAATTTTTTTTTTCAGAAGCTTGAGAGGCAAAAGAGTTAGCGGGGATTCAGATATTTCCGGAGAATTTAAAAGTCAGTTTAGTTTCATAAACTAATGGTGAAAAAGTTGCTTTCACAAAACTGAATGGTGGTAGACAAGAGAGAGACAAGGTAGTGGCAGAGAGATAATATACAGACAGATCTACAAGCACTTGGTGTCATCAACTGGAAACTGAAAGCCATCAGAGAGAGGATGGAGACAGGTAATATCTACAGAAATAAACCTAAAGGGCTCAGAATGCCCCCCCCCCCCCAATATTGTTCTTAATTTGTTAATTACTAAACTGACTTAGTAAACCATCATAAAATGTTAAATGTGTAAAAATTATTAAATTATGGCCCCCGTGTGGGTTCCAGGGCCCCATTGTGGGGAAAACAAGAATAGACCCACTGCCTCCCAAAAAGCATGTCGTAAGAGTCGACTAATTGGGGAGCTTCCTTTGAAGTCGGAGTGCATCTGCCGGAGAGGCAAGGAACCAACAGTCTGTATTCAAGAGAATGAGATCTGTAAAACTGATGCACACGCAACACTCAGGTTCTGGAGCAGGACTGCAGTTCAGTAGTGGACGAGCAACCAGAACATTCCGCCAGAGTTTACAGCTGGTGAACGCGAAGAAGAAGAAGATTAAATTATGGCATGTTTTATTTTTAAACAGGCAAAGGATCCTTTTCACACTATATTGGCAGACTTGGTATATGTTTAAAGTACAGTTGGTAAAACGTGGTTGTATTAACCAGGAACTGGACTTTGGAAAGGGTGACAGACTAAAGATGGCGGATCCTGGATTACCTGGGCTGAAAAGACAATCAACAGTGTCTGCAACATTAAAGAAAGTAGCCGAGGGGAAAAACGGGAAAAAGTACCAGAAGGCAGAGAAGAGCTGCACAGAGTGGTCATTACCCTGGGACGAGAGTGCAGGGAATGGGCTGCATGACATGCAGACAATGAGGTTAAACAGCTGATAGAGGGCAACTGCAGGCCAGGAGATGTGATTGAATACACTGATGATCAGGGGCAAAACAAATAGATGGGAAAGCATGGGGGAAAAGGATGAGTGAAGAGTGCTTGGCATACGAAAGTGATACATCCAGCATGAATGGAGACTGAGGGAGTAACTGCAGTGCTCTGATGGGTGCAAAAAATCTCAGTCACACATGCTGTTACAATATCAGATTTGCAAAGCATATCTGGAAAGGTGGAGTCAGGTTTTCGTTTGGAATGGTTTACATCAATCTAGAGGTTGCATGTGGTGAGCCCCACATGGATATTTTGCATGCGCCAAGTAGGTGTGTTTGGGAAGGAGCAGGCAAATAAACAGGCAGGACAGGCCCGACTTAGAAGTGTACTGCAACCTCACAAGGCAGGGGGATATCTAGCCTTTAAGACAAGGGAGAAAAAGTAGAATAGAAAATACTGAAAAGCCGCAATGAATGATGCAGTAGGAAGTGTCTGCGGGCTCTGGACACCACTCAAGACTAGGGACGAGTAGTTAACTGCACTGTTTTGATGTTTCCTTGATTAAGTCAGGGATCTGCTCCTGGATCCCACAGTGCTTTATCAATTTCCCAAGTGATATCAATGATGTTACAGGCCCACTGACAGTATACAAATCCAATACAAAGTTGGTAACTGAATGCTTTGCTCTCATCATGTTTTATGTGGCTACCTAGACAGGTTTCAGAACAGCATTATTTAAATGGCTAGAACGCCAGATACTCATCAGGGAGACCTGAGTTTGAATCCCTCAACATCCCTGTGTTCCTCGGCCTCATGGTGGGGAAAGATAACAGACCCCCTGACAAGCATGCTGTAAGAGTCAACTAATTAGGGGTGATCCTCTTGATGTCAGAGTGCATCTGCCTGACAGGTAAGTAACCAGCAGTCTGCGTAAATACAAGCCATATCTGTAAAATGGATGTGCACTCAAAACTCAGGTTCTAGAACAGAACTAAAGTTCATAAGTGGAGGAACAACCAGAACGTTCTGCTGGAGCAGACAGCCAGTGAACACACAAGAACAAGAAGAATCCTCAATAAGGTGATAGCATTTATTTGGGGTACTTTCTGAATAGCCCAATGGGCCAGGATTCGCTCCTTAATGGACTGTGCAGGATATGTTCTGCAGTCTGCACACACAGCCCACAGCGGTGAACTACTTAGATGAAGCTTGTGCATATGCTTGTTTAGTCCTGTCCTGAGGCGTAGAATAATGACCTGCACATGCCGGTCAAGTAAGTGGTAGTCATTTCTGGCCAGACTCTGCTCATGTCTAATAGACCTGAAGGCCCTTTTCTTCTCATAGAATGTTACTGCATAGCCGTTTATCCACGATTTTGTTTCCTGGTACACCACAGTTGGATGGCACCCACTGGAGTACAGTAAATTTTTGGGCAGCCGCCTTACCAAGTTCAGATCTCAGGGGAGGGAGTTTGCCACTCTTGAGGGCTTGGAGCACTGATAGGGCATCTGTGAAGATGACCACTTGGTGGCAGTCAGAACTGGTGTTTGTGTAACATTTCGCAGCCTGCTCTAGTGCTATAACCTCTGATGTTTAGTTGGAACAGAACTTACCAGTGGTTTTATACCTTATGTAGCGGTGGTTGTCTGGGTATGTGATAAAGATGCCAGCACCCCATTTTTAACCGCACTGGTTGCTGATCCATCTGTGTAAGCACATATCCACAAGTTTTACCTAATGACTCCAACTGCTGCTGAGTGCCCCCCCTCCCCCACTGCCTACTCAGAATAAGGCTACCCCTTTTACCCATCTCTCCAAACCATCTCAAGTACCCCCCTTTCCTGGGTGGTATCTTCTTCTTCTCTTACACCTTGTACCTCATCAAAGTGTCGGGGGGAGATGTAATGTTCGTTGATGAGCTTTGTCAAGAGAACTATTAAGACTGATGTTCATTTCTGTAAGGCTGCTTTTAATGCCATCACTCCATAATTTTCCGAGGTCTTCCACTCGCTCTATACCCGCTGTAACATTTTAATGTGGCTCGCTGTATCAGATAGTACCAGGGCATTTTTGTTTGGTGTCCAAACCACTTTATCTGTTGTTCTTTGATGACCTGTAAGACTGGCTTTATTCCTAGCATTCGTCTGATTTCGTATTCTGTCTTTCCTTATGCGTGCGCGCGCACGCACAGAGAGAGAGAGAGAGAGACAGAGAGCGAGAGAACACAGAAAGAGGGAGTACCGCATAATAAGCTTAGCTCTAAATGGTTCTGATAATTAATATAGCGTATGTCCTGCTCACTGCATATTAACGCAATGAGAACAACAGACAACCAACAAAGTCTATAGGAAAAAAACGGCAACAGACAATGGCAGCCTAAAATTATGTCTTCCAAAAAATTATCATTTTATTTACGATTTGTCCATTACGGCTTGCATATTTCAAGGACTCCGGTATGTTTAAAAAATTATGCTGGCATTCTAAAGGCCCAAGTTGCTGTTACTAGGTTTTCCCAGACTCAAAGGACTGCTTTGAGATTTGAGCTATCAAACAATGACACCTTCTACAATCGACTGTGGTATGATTAAACTCACCTCATGTGACAACAGATGAGTGTATGCTGCTAGAACACAAACACAATGGACAACAAAGCAACAAGTCTTACCATGGTATCTCTGAGACCCTTGGCTATCCCTCCTCCGCTGCGACATTTCACTGCTAGACCGTTTGTAATCCACGTGAGAAGAGTACTGTCCTTCATGCTGCAAACGTTTGTAGTCAATGTGTTGTGAGTCCGATAAACCGTTGTTGCCGCCCGGCGTAGAGCCAGAGCGGTGTGCTGCCACCTGGTGGTGGTGATGGTAGAGAGAATTGCTAGAGACAGAATCTGCGGGACGAGGTCTTTCAGCAGACCTCTGTGGGTCCCTGCTGTTTTCTCGGGACAACTGTTGGTTGTCGCGGGACTCTCTACCATCCCTGTAATATTGATGTGCGTTTGACAGGGCTGGATCCCTTCCGCCATGAGATTCGGGCACGATGTCCCCACTGTTAATGGTGTGGGGTCGTGGGTGCTCGTGTGAGAGCTCGCTGGATGTGGAATGTCGAGAAGCTCTGCTGTCTGCACTGACTGTAAACAAAACAACAACAAAAAATAAATTAAAACACTATAACCAGAAGAGATTCACAATGGTGTACCATCTAGACACTCACTGTTTTCTCTTTCAAAAAATGACATTGGCTCCCAGGTGACCCAGCCTAAAATGGGTACCTAAAGTGACGGCAGCTGATAGGATGTTGACCACATACTCACTGGGTGCAGATAAGACTCAAAACATAGGTCTAGCACTTTATCATCTAACACGTCGAAGTGCGTGGAAAAGCTTCTTCTAGAGATACGTTTCACAAGAGTATAATAAACTCATCCTGCTGAAATGTGCCAGCTCTGCGATTTAGAGATTAGCGAATGCGTTTTTTTTCTTCCACATTGCTTGAGAAAACAAGGTTTGTTTCTGTAGTGGACAGTTTAGCTATTTAAAAAAATACATTTTTCATTAATTTAGAACTGCGATATGAGAGTTCTAAGTGGGGGAAATTGGGTTCTCTTTCTTAGCTTGCTGTTTAGAAGACACAATTTTATAGATTCATGTTCTATGACTTATATTTGCGTATCCTTTACAGGACGTTGCAGAACCAACCCTAGCATTTTTTTGGCTATTGTGGTTTTTCTAGACAAATTTACGTCCTGTAGTTTGCCACTGCTTTCTGGACAGTCAGCTTCTCGATACCACTGTCAAAACCAGTGCAATGACATAGACAGGTATTTAATCACATCTAACGTTAAAAATGGAGGGGCAGGCGGTCACTGCAGCTTTCCGCTGGCTAGAGAACATGAAATACACACACATCATGGCTGTAAACGACTCAGAAAGCATGCTGAAGAAGGTGAGGACAGACATTTCATACAGAGTGACATACTTCGCTTTAGAGGTTATGGGAGAACAGCACTAAGGTATGCAGGTGCGTTGAGAAATGAACAAGCTGACAGATAAAGTGGCTCTGCACAATTTGGTGGAATACAGATGCATGATAAAGGACATGTGGTTCAGCTCCGGAACAGCAAAGTGATCATCACAGTTTTGGTGAGAGTGATGCTAGTGACTGCTACAGGCACTAGAGATGGGGAGGGAGCGCTTATGGTAATGCCTTGAGTGCTGTGATGTTCATTGAATCAACTCAACTCAAACAGATATTTATGGTCACATAACGCAAAAAAATATACTCATACAACCAAATATAAACAGATCATAGACAGAAATAACACATGTGACTCATGGACAGATGACTGAAAGACATAGACATATATACCCACATATGAACAGATCATAGACATACACAAATACACATACATTTACCTCCCCCCACATGAATAGACCATTATAAGATATTACATAGACACACACGTAAAACACATGTGACCCATAAATACACATACAAAAAAAAAACAAAGCATATACAGGTGCATGTGCACATCACAAACAGATTTTGCGAAGACAGACACATAATTACATTTATTAATAAATGACTGATACAGATAAACACAGACAGACATACAAAACTGATACAGATAAACATGTAAACAGACACAAATAAATGATTCACACACATACATACAAAAATGACCCCTATGGACAAACATTTAAACAGAAACAAAGAGACCACTCACTCTGGTTGGCATGAGCTTGTGGCAGTGTCTTGGATCGCCCATCCTTAGATCTATGGTCGGGAGTCTTACACCTGACATGAATATGACAATGTTATAACAAAACCAAACTTAAAAAAAAAGCTTATAAAAATGGAGCATTAAAGTGGACCAAATCCTCACTTTATACAAGCATGGCAGTTTCAAATCATGAACTAAGATACAACTTCACTATCCCCCAATGTCTGGTGTGGGTTCTGTGGCCCCAGTGTGTGAACAAGAATAGAACCACTGCTCCCTAAAAAAGCATGTCGTAGTAAGGAGTCAAGTAACTGTTGACTGCCTCCAAAGTCAGAGAACATCTGCCCGAGTGGCAAGGAACAACTAACTGAGGACTGCCTCCAAAGTCAGAGTGCATCTGCCCGAGTGGCAAGGAACAACTAACTGCAAACAAATAAGCCAGTAAAACTGATTTACACGCAAAACTCAGACCCTGGCACTGAAGTCCAAAATGAACGAACAAAAAAAGGACTTTCTCCTGGAGCTTACAGCTGATGAACGAATGAACAAACTTTATTTTCAAAGGGTCACACAGGCCTATCTTACAATCGGCCCTTCCAATCACCCATCTTTTGCACAGCAGTTGTATTTTACTAATAAAGTTTATCTCTAGTTCAGCTTGTCTAAAACAACTGTCTACATGACTCCAACTTCTTTCTTCTGCTTTTCTCTAGACCGTGCTCTGTGTTTCAGTGCTAGTATCAACACATGATAATAAGATACATACTACACATACTTTCACTGAGCCATACATTAAGATACAGACTACACATACTTTCGCTGAGCCATACATTAAGATACAGACTACACATACTTTCACTGAGCCATATATCAATAGGCTGACTACACATACTTTCACTGAGCCATACATTAAGATACAGACTACACATACTTTCGCTGAGCCATACAATAAGATACAGACTAGACACACTTTCACTGAGCCATACAATAAGATACAGACTAGACACACTTTCACTGAGCCATACATTAAGATACAGACTAGACATACTTTCGCTGAGCCATACAATAAGATAAAGACTAGACACACTTTCACTGAGCCATACAATAAGATAAAGACTACACATACTTTCACTGAGCCATACAATAAGATACAGACTACACATACTTTTACTGAGCCATACAATAAGATAAAGACTACACATACTTTCACTGAGCCATACATTAAGATACAGACTACACATACTTTCGCTGAGCCATACAATAAGATACAGACTAGACACACTTTCACTGAGCCATACATTAAGATACAGACTAGACATACTTTCACTGAGCCAACAACTAAATGAGGATAAAGACTACACATACTTTCACTGAGAACATACAATAAGATACAGACTACAACATACTTTCACTGCCTCCATACAATAAGATAAAGACTAGACCCACTTTCAAGGAGCCATACAATAAGAGGACAGACTACACACACTTTCACTGAGCCATACAATAAGATAAAGACTACACATACTTTCACTGAGCCATACAATAAGATAAAGACTACACATACTTTCACTGAGCCATACAATAAGATACAGACTAGACACACTTTCACTGAGCCATACATTAAGATACAGACTAGACACACTTTCACTGAGCCATACAATAAGATAAAGACTACACATACTTTCACTGAGCCATACAATAAGATAAAGACTACACATACTTTCACTGAGCCATACAATAAGATACAGACTAGACACACTTTCACTGAGCCATACAATAAGATACAGACTAGACACACTTTCACTGAGCCATACATTAAGATACAGACTAGACACACTTTCACTGAGCCATACAATAAGATACAGACTAGACATACTTTCACTGAGCCATACATTAAGATACAGACTAGACACACTTTCACTGAGCCATACAATAAGATACAGACTAGACACACTTTCACTGAGCCATACAATAAGATACAGACTAGACACACTTTCACTGAGCCATACATTAAGATACAGACTAGACATACTTTCGCTGAGCCATACAATAAGATACAGACTAGACACACTTTCACTGAGCCATACAATAAGATAAAGACTACACATACTTTCACTGAGCCATACAATAAGATAAAGACTACACATACTTTCACTGAGCCATACAATAAGATAAAGACTACACATACTTTCACTGAGCCATACAATAAGAAACAGACTAGACATACTTTCGCTGAGCCATACAATAAGATAAAGACTACACATACTTTCACTAAGCCATACAATAAGATACAGACTACACATACTTTCACTGAGCCATACAATAAGATAAAGACTACACATACTTTCACTGAGCCATATATTAATAGGCTGACTACACATACTTTCACTGAGCCATACATTAAGATAAAGACTACACATACTTTCACTAAGCCATACAATAAGATAAAGACTACACATACTTTCACTGAGCCATATATTAATAGGCTGACTACACATACTTTCGCTGAGCCATACAATAAGATAAAGACTACACATACTTTCACTAAGCCATACAATAAGATACAGACTACACATACTTTCACTAAGCCATACAATAAGATACAGACTACACATACTTTCACTGAGCCATATATTAATAGGCTGACTACACACACTTTCACTGAGCCATATATTAATAGGCTGACTACACATACTTTCACTGAGCCATACAATAAGATAAAGACTACACATACTTTCACTGAGCCATATCCTAAGATACAGAGCTCACAAATTTTTACAGAGACATATATTTATATATCACCCACACTTCCACAGAGCCACACATTTATATATCACCTACACTTTCACAGAGCCACACATTTATATATCACCCACACTTTCACAGAGCCACACATTTATATATCACTCACACATTTATATATCACCCACACTTTCACAGAGCCATACATTTATATACAATCACACTTAGATACAGACCACACACATTTTCAGATACTTCGCTATATTGGTTACGCAAATTTTCGGAGCTACACACTTAGACCCCCACCCCCTACACATTTCAACAAAGACCCCTGACAACAAAGACCCCTGACAACAAAGACCCCTGACAACAAAGACCCCTGACAACAAAGACATATATTTTCCCACAAAAAGACAAATACAGACATACACACCCAGACATACAAGCTACTCACATCTCACTGTTCCACTCCTTGGGCTTCTCCCATTGAGAAACTTCTGTCTTACAGTTATAGTAGTATCTTTTCCCAGAGCTACTGATGTGCTCTGACCAGTCTCCAAACACACGGATGGCTGACTTTTGCACCTGCTGTCAAACATATCAACAACAACAACGAAAATTTAATTAACTAATTAATCAAAGCATATATCTAACTAACTATGCTCATTCTTGTGTGGGTTCCAGGGTCCTAACTATGCTCATTCTTGTGTGGGTTCTGGGGTCCCATCTAACTATGCTCATCCTTGTGTGGGTTCCGGGGTCCCATCTAACTATGCTCATTCTTGTGTGGGTTCCGGGGGTCCCATCTAACTATGCTCATTCTTGTGTGGGTTCTGGGGTCCCATCTAACTATGCTCATCCTTGTGTGGGTTCGGGGGTCCCATCTAACTATGCTCATTCTTGTGTGGGTTCTTGGGGTCACATCTAACTATGCTCATCCTTGTGTGGGTTCCGGGGGTCCCATCTAACTATGCTCATCCTTGTGTGGGTTCCGGGGGTCCCATCTAACTATGCTCATTCTTGTGTGGGTTCTGGGGTCCCATCTAACTATGCTCATTCTTGTGTGGGTTCTGGGGTCCCCTTATGGGGAAAACTAGAAGAGACCCACAGCCTCTCTACAAAAACATGTTGTAAGAGTTGACTAACTGGGCTTCTTTCAAAGTCAGATGCATAAAACAGAGAGACAAGAAACCAAAAGTCTGCATACTAAAAGTGAGATGTGAAAATGGATGTGCCGGCAACACTCCAGAACCAAAACTTAAGTCCAGAAGTGGACAAACAATGAGGACTTTCTGCCAGAGTGTACAGCCTGTGAACGCTAAGAAGAAGAAGACGGTTACATAGTAGTTGAGAGAAGGCGTGTGGATGGGACAAGTGGGAAGATCTAGTACAAAAGAGATAATGTTTGAGAGAGAGAGAAAGAGAGAGAGATAGAGAGAGAGAGAGAGAGAGAGAGAGCTAGTTCTTTAAAAAAATATTGTGTGCTGACTCCACAGTGAAGGTTGGTTGCAGTGCATCCACAACTGTCTTTGAGAATATTTTGTGATGGGACCCAGTATCCTCCACAGTGTGCCTCTCATACCACTGTCCAAACAGCATGTCCGGATGGAGAAAATTATACCAAGTACAACCACCATCTAGAAAAGTGTTTCTCAAACCTTGTACACCTACTGGCATCCAAAACAGCTGTTTCACAACCCCCCCCCCCCCCAAACAGCTAAAGAGATAGGAGAAATAACCATGCTTTCTAAACATACAGACAGAGATAAACAGATAGAAAGAGAGACAGTAAGAATAAAACCATGCTTTCTCAACATACAGAAAGATAAACAGATAGAAAAAGAGATGAAAAATAACCCTGCCATCTAAACAGAAACAAACAGATAGAAAAAGAGATGAAAAATAACCCTGCCATCTAAACGGAAACAAACAGATAGGAAGAATAACCGGGACTCACCTCTTTTTCTTTGCCTGATGAGGTTGTTTGCTTGCCATTGTTGGCTGCTGTGAAAGATAATAATTTTGGTTAATTCAGCAATTTTACCCACACATTCTGTGTGACTGTAGTAACTTGCTTAAAGGTTAACCAAACACCGGCTATTCTCCGAATAATGATCCCAACGAGATACAGCGAAATATGCCAGGCAATGAATTGTGCAATCTATTGTTTGTGTCTTCTTTATTCAAATCCAAGATAAGTTTAACACACACACACACAAAATAAGGACTGTTGCCTGCTGATTTGGGAAAATGTAATAGTGTGTGAAGGGACAGAGTGGTATGATAGAACTTTCTGTGAGTTCACAGGGAAATAACATATTGAGGGGGGAGAGGTTGACCAGTGAAAATGTATTATCATGAACGAGGCGTGCACGCACTAGAAAGTAGACACGTGGGGTTACTGTGTGGGGGTTGACAAGCATGGATAACGAGACCCACAGAGGAAGGGTGTATTATGTGACAGCATGATTCTCATGTAACATCAGCCAATCACATAAGTGTGATCCTTAATAACGATCCCTTGACTGTGAGTCTCGAGAACACCCATATGAGCATGTTTTCCGAGAACACCAACACGAGCGTGCCTCTCGTGTAACCTATGAGTTCGACAGGATAAACTGGCACTGAGTAGTCGGTCCGAGTCAGTCAGAGCCGAGAGTCAGAGCAAGAGAGAGACCAAGTCAGGGTCAGTGATTATATCTCTCGAGTACAACAGACAAGAGTACCGTACAACTATCAGGCATCAAGGTCTGAGTAAGGGTTGAGGTTGCGGTACTGGTCGAAGGTATAGTCCCGTTGGCGAAATAAGTCCAAGGGGACAGGATGCTCCAATAGTACCTGTAAACAAAACAGGGGGTGATGCCGACGAGAGCAGTGTGCTAGAGGGGACTTGTGTTAGAAGTCCTGTCGGTCATCGGAGTCCCTCGACAGGCTGACGTGCTGTGTGTTTTTGGCAAGGGAAGTCCGTCTCCAGTCAGCCGCGGTTGTCTGCTGAAATAATATCAAGGTCCAGTGGATGGGAGAATTCGTCCTGTTCAGCTGTACGGTGTGCTCAGAGTTGTGGGACGCTGTGGGCCTTTGGAGCTGTAGTGGTCAGGGAGAGGTCGCTACAAGTTCGAGAGAGAGCGAGTGAGGACTAAATGGACTATGGGCGAATGTCAATTGGGATCAATGTCTACGTCTCTGCAGTTTTGTTGACATGAGGGCTTATGTATACCCTCAAGTGTCCTGTCGAATAAATATGCTATGTGACGGAACTACTGTGGTCGAGTCCTGCTTCTAGTGAGAGGGAGCGAAAGTTGTACCTGCTGGACACTTGGTAGTGTGTTGCTTAGTGTGTCAGCTCAGATAGCACACAGCAAGGACTTATTCTGAGCCGTTGGTCCATCAGACATATAATGCTAGAGCTATCATTTTATAGACGTCCATAGTCGATGGGTGATGTGGTCAACATATTGTCAGCTGCCTTTACTTCCAATGACATACCTGGTACACATTTTAGACATCCAGGATCAGATAGCGTGTCCAGAATATCTGTTCTCAATTTCTAACAAAACTCTCATTAAGAGAAAATCAGAAACAGATTGGAAAACCAACACTGGTTATAACTACGGAAAAGATTTTCTAAAACACTTGAACAGAACAGACCAAGTCACAGTTTTCCGCTTACGCACTGGACATGCAGACTCAATAAACACTCACAGGTATGAGCCAAACAGCTCTCTGCCAGTGCCTTCGTGCTGTCCAGAACATGTCCTGCAAGAAGCTGACATATGGCAACACCCTGACAACTTTGGGGAAACCTAAGAGACCTTGAAAAGACATCCCAGTTTATGACCCACAGTGGATTATGCGCATGACCAGAGATCGCTGAAGAAGAAGAAGAATTTCTAACAATCACAAACTGAATTTCCTACACACCTGATGAGTGTGCAACAAAGTTAACACTTTCAGTGTTGCTAAATGGCAAGGCTAACAATCTCTTCATGCCTATAACCTGTGCCTAATAAAGAATCTCTTGTGGAGATAATCTGCACTTATTTCTATACCCTTCTCACATCTACCGAGTACTCGTTCCATCAAAAGCACACAAAAAACATATGGCCCAACCATTAAGTTAACCGTAAGTGTCAATGCTCCCCCACGAATACAAATTTCATTTAAAAAAAAAAATAACAAATCTCTAGACTGTTTCAGTCACTTGCTGACAAGATCTGTCTTTTCCGATAATGGACCACCACATCAAAACATTCGGAGCACAGGATCCTATCAATCATCAGCCCACTTAGACTACCACACATGCTACTCCCACAAATAAAGTGTATCCTGCGCTGGAAACCTTCACACAACACCACCAGCCAATGAGAAAGCATGACGACCCAAAAGAAAAATCAGTCACCCAACACCAACAAGGTAGCTATCACCAGCTTAAAACGATAAGTGAAACAACGCACAATCTACACTGTGACATCCCTCTTTCTTACCCTGACTTCCTGATCTCTCTTTACGTTGACTGGACGATGATGAGGATGGAGTTGGTCGGTTGGAGTCAGGAATGCCGCTGCCACTGCTGTGTTCTCCACCAAAGGTGAAGCTAGTCTCCATGGGGATTGGACGACCCAGGCTACCAGTGGCCAGGTAGTGACTAACTTTCTTTTCCGCGAGACTGAGGGAACCTGAAAGATTTACATAGCACATGCTATTATTCATGTCAGTTCAGCTGCTGATCGTGCCTGTTCACAGCTTATTATTTTGTTTACTGTCAATAATTTCTGACTCAAGATGTTTTGTCTTGTAAAAACACAATTTGTCTTCTGGTCTGCTCCTGTCTTTCTTTCCCTTTAACTTTCCTGTTACTATGACACTCTCCCTGTGTGGGTTCCAGGGAAAACAGAACCCACCCACTGCCCCCAACAAGCATGTTGAAAAAGGCTACTAATTTGGGTGTTTCCATTGAAGTCTGAATGCATCTGCCTGAGAGGTGTCTTAAAATGTTGTAATGTAGCATGTTAGCAACCCATTTTATAAGCAGCCAATTGTGATAGAATTTCTGGTTGAAGAGAAGGAAACACAACAGTCTGCACACAAATGAGCTAGAATTGGAAAACAGAAGTGCACGCAAAACCCAACTTCTGAAACAAGCCCGCAGTTTAGAATTTGACAAACAACTAGAACTTTCTGCCAGAGTTTATACCTGGTGAGCCTTAAGAAGAAGTTATGAGACACTTAACTCCACCTGTCTAATAAAATGCCCAAAGAATGTGGACTGTGGATATATGATGCCAGTAATCATTGACTCTGGCAGTTTACTCCCAAGATATCTTCAGTACACATTGTATCTGTCCATAATATTCTCACTATTCTTCAATAAAAGAATTCTATGCAGCTTCCACATAATTTATCAGTTACTGGCTGATGTCCATATATTTCACTTCTGTACACCAGAACTGGCTGATGTCCATATATTTCACTTCTGTACACCAGAACTGGCTGATGTCCATATATTTCACTTCTGCACACCAGAACTGGCTGATGTCCATATATTTCACTTCTGTACACCAGAACTGGCTGATGTCCATATATTTCACTTCTGTACACCAGAACTGGCTGATGTCCATATATTTCACTTCTGTACACCAGAACTGGCTGATGTCCATATATTTCACTTCTGTACACCAGAACTGGCTGATGTCCATATATTTCACTTCTGTACACCAGAACTGGCTGATGTCCATATATTTCACTTCTGTACACCAGAACTGGCTCTATACATCTCTTATAAACACTGCACAACACAGAGAATCCATAATTAAAATCCAATACACAAAACGTACCTCGTTTTTCTTTATTTCTCTCAATATAAGAGGACTTGTTCGGATAGCGGGAACCAATACGGCTGCCAAGGGGTCCGTCATCATCGCTGTCATCGGTAAATAAACTGCTATGGTATGGCATGTCCTACAAGAAACAAAGATTATACATCACTGATGTGGTTTGAAACATTTTCACTCAAATGATTCTCAAGCACAGATACACACACAAATGCAATCAACAAAAACATCAGGAAAGTTAGGGATCACATCAAAACAAGTAGAATGCCTTATACTGGAACATGCTAAGGAAGAGACAGACACATTAGCTTTATGTGGGACAATACCAGAGAAAAGAGGAACAGCACAATGACTTGCAGCTTCAACTGTCAGGGTTCGCCCTGCTATGGGACAGTTCAGGATGATGATGATGAATCTCGTCATCGTACCCTGCGACCCTTAGTGACACTCAATACGTGCATACACACGTAGAAACGAGCATGAGCGGACTTCGCACGTGTGTGCACATTTTGGACCGGACGCTGAACGGCTTGCTTGGGGGGACTGCTAGGAAACTGGACGTGGGACGAGAGTGGATTTTTGACTGACCGTTTGTTTTTGACATGAAGATAGGTACCAGCGTAGTGATTAGATGTAACGTGTTCTGTTCATAGTTTCATGTAAAGTAATAGTTGTAACTAGAAGCCAGACCATGCTTTGCTGGTGGCGTTAACACTGTCGACGCACTTAGGCCTACACATTGGCGCATGCCATAACGTCTTTGGCATCGAGATATAGCGGGTTGAGCTGGCACTGTACGGGAGAGTGGTAGCGGCTCAGAGCTTAGTTCATAAACGTGTAAAGGCGCCTCTAAGCGATTTTAAAGTTAGACGCGGCCTGGGTTTTGAATAAGGAGCGCTACTCCTCCTGGGGTGTACCACCACTTCGTTTGCATCTTTGGTAATAAAGATTGTGTGTGTGTTGCAACAAGTGTTTGGCTTGAGTGTGTTTGTACGGTGTTTTCCTGTCATTGGCCTATAGCAGAGCCAATGGAATCGAGCCCTAGACAGTTAGGTTTCTGACAGGAAAGTGGGGAGCTCTTACCGTGGATTTTGTGGGAACCCAACGTGCTTAGTCAATAGCTGATAGGAAAGGTTAGGTATTTGTTTTTCCGTAAATATTTTTGATAGGTGAAATGGGAATTTATTGTTAGTCCGTCTACATGTTTGTTGTTTAACATGACTGTATGTGATTAGAGGTAATAACTGTATGTGTTAGGATTGTGTCGTGACGACGGATAGGGATTTAGGACGACATAGACAGATAGACATAGTGTGATTGTTTTACAAGTTGCGGTGTGCAAGTCCAAGAAGTCATCGAGGCCTGTCGTCCTCGTCATCATCAAGTGTGTCATCAACATCCACGTGTTCTTTGGCGGCCATGTCTCCCAGACTGGAGTGCAGATAAGTTTTTGTTGTTTTGATTTTGGTGTTTGTGTCCTGGTCAGTTCTCCAGTCCGTGAGATTCCTTCTCGATCTAGTTGGTTGATCGGCGCCGTTCATTATCTATCGTTCTTGGCTATCCTTTCTCATCAGTCCTATTGTTGTTTTTGTGTTTTGAAAAAAAAAAAAAAAATTTTTTTTGTCGCACACACATCAGTCATCACCCATCATCTACAATTGTAAGAAGTATTCTTCGGATTCCTGATCCAATATTTTTCGAACTGTGTACATCCAAATTGTTTTACAATTGTTGTCGTATTACTGTGATGATGTGATTTGTGATATTCTTTATTGAATATTACACTGTAAATTTATGTTTAGTTCTCGGATTAACTCGAGATTACATTTATAGGTCCGGCTGTAGTTCGGATATTCGCGATTTTTATTTTCTCCCTCTCCAATAGGATTGTGCAGTGAGTTTTGTGGTTGTAGTTGTATACTTGGTATTGGTTTGATTTTGTACTGATTTGTTTGCTTGATATTATACACGAATACACCATGTCATCTCTTGCCGAGTTTATTGAAATGGCCAGACAGCATGGGCTGACTGGAGAAAAGGCTTTGGAATGGGCCGATAAAAAGTATACAGATCTCAGAGAGAGACTAGATCGGGCAGACGAGAGAGAGTTTAAAAAGCTCGAACTGGAGGCTATGCAGAAGGCTAAAGAAATAGAAGCTTGTACTTTAGAAAAACAGTTAGCTGCCCAAGCTGAACTGAAAGATAAGGAGGCTGCTTTGAGACTACAGGAATTAGCTGCCCAGGCAGAGGCTAGAGACAAAGAAATTGCCGCTCAAGCAGAGAGAGATAGAGTACAGATGGTCATTAAAGAACGTAATAAGACCAACAACATCGAAAGATTATTAAGGTTAAACTAAACTCCAGTAAGTAATTCCCCCCATTTAGGAATGTGATTTCTTCTTGTGGTCCTTACAATGTTGGAGTATGTTGTTGACTCCCTGGGCTTGTTTTCCCTTCTTAATAAGCTGTACGATGAACAGTCTTACCTGACATCTTCTGTGGTTTGTACGCACAACAAACAGGGACAGTGGTGAGATATTCAGACGAAGCCTGTGCATATACTTATTAAAAGTTTGTTATGCCCTGTCCTGAGGATCTAAATGATGACCTGCCCATGTTGGTCAAGAAAGAATAGTCATTACAGGCCCGATTCTGTTCACTTCTGATACACTGGATGGCCCTTCTTTTCTCAAAGTACGTGATATGTGAGATCAGGTGCCTGTATCTTAATCTGGCAGTTGAATGTAGTCACCTACTGTCACAGAAAGATGCCTAAACCCCATATCTATACAAATACTTCTTTTCCTAGGAGAAACACAGATATGGTTAACATATGAATTGACTAGATATATGCAATGGTAATGCCCAACCATCCTGTGATCCCAAAGGAAACTGTAAATCATTTAGCTAAAGATACTGATTCAGAAACCCTTACAGACTAGTGTAACTGTGGAACAAGAGTTTGCCAAATGGAACTGATTCTTCTGAACTGTCCTGAAGATCTACAAAGCCAGAAAAGGAGAGCTAGCACAAGTGCTGGAGCTATTCATCGCCTGGAAAGGAACATGAGTTTTGTTAATTCTACAAGCAACTGTTAACCCACAAGACATGTAGTCTGTCCTGCAGTGGATTCCAGGTCACTGTGGCTTGGAAGACAGACAGTGAAAAAGCAGACAGACTGGCCAGAGAAGAGACAGTGGCATGGTGCAATTAAAAAGTGACTTAACCCACCAGGAGATTAAAAAAAACTAGGAGCTTTGAAAGGTGGCTGGACACCAGTAGACATTTTGCCCCAAGAATCACTGCATCACCTCTCTAGAAAGATTAAGGATAGGGCACAACAGACTGTTAACATATGTTCAAGTTTTTCAGTATAGGAAACATGGAGATGTGAAAACCACCTCATTCCTTGCCAACGTTTCCTCCTTATGAACTTGAATGCATACTGTTTCCTTGAAACTCTGTGTCCACAGTCTTGCTGCTCAACCCCTGCCTCCTTCTTTAAGGAACCATCCCCTTGCAGCAATGTGCTTTCCAAATCATTATGCAACTTAATATGGCCGAAGTATTTCTGTTTAAAAATAATACTTTTTATGAGTCATCTTGTACTCAATATTCAGATTGTGAATGATGAGAGAATTGTTTCTCTTCTCCCTGACTACTTGTATGAAATTATTCCTTTGTTTTCTTGACCAGGATAAATGGGTGAGAATACACTCAGAACACATCAGACAGAAATCAAACACTGAAATGTGAATGAACTAAGTCTTACCTGAGGCAGATGGGTGTCTTTTCTGTCAGCATACCTGTAACAGAGGAATTAAATGGTGTTTGTGATCAAGAAAATCCTAAAGTTGTCATTGTAACAGTCTACCATATTTACATTCTAAATCCTGGTTGACAGATCAGTAAAAGAATTCTCAAAACAGATGCAACAAAACTGCAGTGGAAACAGAACAGTATATGAAAGGAATAACAAAACAGTATATGAGAGGAAAAACAAAACAGTAGATGAAAGGAAAAAGAGAATATTATATGAAAGGAATAACAGAAAAGTATATGAAAGGAATAACAGAAAAGTATATGAAAGGAATAACAGAAAAGTATATGAAAGGAATAACAGAAAAGTATATGAAAGGAATAACAGAAAAGTATATGAAAGGAAAAACAAAACAGTAGATGAAAGGAAAAAGAGAATAGTATATGATAGGAATAACAGAAAAGTATATGAAAGGAATAACAGAAAAGTATATGAAAGGAAAAACAAAACAGTAGATGAAAGGAAAAAGAGAATAGTAATGTTATAACATCATAAGGACAAGATGATAGCTGACAAATAAAATAAAAAAGGTGCTAATAGAGAAATTGGGTGATAATAACAAGGTAGCATGATATTAACATAAAACATTTAAGGTAGAAGAGACACCCAAGCATCTGGGGCACAATAAGACAGTAAGATATCTTCACATCAAGAGCAAATATAACAAGGTAGTAGGATATTGAGACATCTATGGTACAAAGGTAACAGGATAACTAAACATTCTAGACTAATGAAAGCAGCAGGGAAAAATATCAGAACAAACATTGTCTAAAAACTGTTTAGTATGTCTAAACAAAGAAAACAGAATATTCAGTCGCTGTTATACAGCAATTACATATGCAAATGTATTCATGGCATTCACAGATGCCACCCAAGCAAGTAAACAGTAAATTTACATAACTGCAAATAAATTTACATATGAAGTAGAAATGGAACTAAATAACAAATGGTAACAGAAATTATAAATGTCATATATAATCCTTTAGAAATCATCTTTTTGTTGTCTAGTTATAATTTTTTCAAAATTCATAAATGCCATATATCTAGTGCCTTTTTTAAAAATAAATTTGTTAACAAAAGTAGGTATATGGTGTTTACACAATAGGAATCCCTGCATATATCAAACATTACGCAAATGTTTCCAAACTATTGTATGGCAGCTTTTGATCTTTCCAGACAATACTGTTCGGCAGTGTTATAAGGAGGCTTGAGAATCAAAGCCCATGGTGACAGTGAGTGTGACTAGCAAGTCTTTTCGACATTTATTTTTTTTTAACAGGCAGGCTATTATTATTATCAATTAATTCTCTTGATATATGGAAATAACAGTCATTTGTTTTTTGGTAATATAAACGGTAGATAAGATTAGTCCTGCGTGAACATTTCTTATGGAATATCCTCTCTAACAAATTTGTCATATTCACCAACCGCCACTCTACTGCAAAATCAGGCAACAAAATTATCACAGAATGTATTACATGTATAATATTTTCTTGACCTCATCAGCATCAAGTGTTAGTTAATCTGTTATCTATTAAAGTATTAATTAATATATATGATTTTACAACAGCTTATAAGTCAAGACTAAGTACTGGCTGACATGATCAGCAGTTATATATAAATATAGATAATTTTATAACAATAGCATCGGAGTCAAGACTGAGCTTTGGCTTACAGATGAAATAAAAGACGTTTTTTGATTGAATTTATAACAAATGGTTTCTTTGATGACAGTTTGTGAAGACCTGGCGTTTTTACTGGAGACGCCGTGAAAGAGGGTTGGTAGTGGGTAAAATTCTCTGAAACAAAACAAAAACTGTAGTCAGTCATGCTAACTGTGATGTCTCGGCATGGATTATTCAGCTGGTTGTTTGTATAGTGTTGAAATCTGAAAATAAACGAAAACTGAAGTTAGCAACGTCCACAAGTTTATCACAGACAACAACAAACATGGCGGCCCACTGCCTCCATCGTCAGCTAAACGATCAATGTGCAAAAGTGTTTACCCATCATTGAGTTTGGGCTGTTTCCTTGCATGCATTACCATTAATGCTATAGAACAATAGCAAAATGCAATGCCAAGGAAGCGATGTGGATGGGCTGGAGAGAATTTTCATTCAACACTATGCGCCAACATTCATCAGCTTCGACGCCATGTTACATCCGGGCTAGGCGTCACTTTTGCATAACATTTTCTAGAATTTATGTTCACTTTTATTTTTCTTTAGCATTTTTATATTTTAATACAAATTTTAACGCTAATTTGTACTTAATATTTTAAAAAAAATACGAAATAAGAAAAGTTAATGAAAGTTCAAGGTTACCTGTGCAGGCTAAGATGGCGGAGTGTTGGTAAATAGCATGTTCTTGCTGTCCTGGTTTTTGTTTCCCTCGGTTCCACGTAACTGCTCACAACAATACATAGTTATAGATATAGAATACTGATCTTTTATGTAGATAGCATCACATTCAATATAAATGTTGGACGTTGCTATTGACGACAAGCCGGTAAAAGGTGAGATAGATCACAGTCCGGTCAACCTCTAATTTGTCATGACTAACCTTAGCTAACCCGCACTTGTTAAACCGACGACCTCACATAACGTAGCAGAAAACAAACATTTGAGTGTGGTATTCACTTCGGAACTGATGGTGATCGTTGATATATTCATCAGCTCATGGGAAAATGATAATATTCGGTGTAGACTATCAGCGTCGCTTGCTTAAATGATCTGCCCGGCTCTGTAGCGTAGTTGGCTAACCGGATTGCGTGGAGACTGGGTAACGAACTCCTTGTGGTCCCTGTTCAATCCCGGGGGTAGGCAGGCAGGAAAGCCACATTTCTTCCAGATTTACTGTATTTACAATGGAATCAAGGCCGAAAAGTTGCGATATCCATAATACCGAGCCTAAGGGTTAACAACTCATGGCTTCTGGATACTAAAACAAACAAACAAACTTAAATGATCTGAACGTGTAAGGCAAGGCCGAATGCCCTCTGTACAGTTGGTTTTGACTTGTTTTCGTACCACGATTTTCTGTGAGCACATCATGTAGTTTTCATATGCATTGAATCTTCGGGTCACGAACTTGATTTATTCTTTGACTTCATTCATGAACGAAATGTTTTTTTCTATTGGAACAAAAGCAAATCCAATTAATCTGTTCGCCAGTGGTTAACATTTTCACAAGATAACATCCAGAAACATTTATCTTTTTCTCGAAAAATTTTCCCAAAATTTAGTCTGAATTATAATTATTTGTTTCTACTGTGATGCGCTTCGACTTCTCGACACCACTAACGTTTGTCACTTTCCTGAGTGCCAGGATACGGGTTTATTTAATGCAGAAGAAAAAGACAATGTTCCCAGCATGCAAACCTGAGAACATCAGTGCTGTTCATGAGCCGAAAATTTGGCCTCAAAGCCATGTTTGTGTGTTAATGTACCAAGTCATTGTTCGCAGGTAGAGCAGAAATTATTTTGGAAATTATGTTTGTTCGCGATTCCTTCATAACAGGTGTTCATGACCTGATCTTTCACTGTCAAGGATGAAATCTTTCATTACCAGACAGTTTTGTTCAAAGTCTTTCTATCAGGAACAGCTGTTACCATAAACCACTGACTTCTGTAAATAAAATTGGACCCACATTTTTTGTTTACGAGACGTTGCAGAATGAACCTCAGCATTTTTGTCTGTTTGTGATCGGAAGGTCATGGGATCGCTGCCTGGGGAGCCGGACTTTTCTTTTAAAATGACCTTGGCTCCCAGGTGGATCCAGCCTTGAGTGGGTACCAGGAAGTAGAGGCGGCCGGCGTGACGCTGACCACATCACCCATCTTGTGCCGTTGGTCTATAAAATATTGGTCTAACCCTCTACGCCGAAAGGCGTAGAAAAGGGTCCTTTACTTTACTTTTTACCATAGTCAAAACCAGTGCAAGGCAGTTTACTGCCAAATTGTCCACAGCTGGGATTGAACCTGGCAACTTGGAATTACAAAGTGCAGTTGCAACGCCCAAGTCACAGCTGCCTGCTGTAGGAGTTCAAATAAAAATACTGTTGTAAACAATAAGTTGAATGAAACAACTGGGTTGCTTGAGGTTAATGTAACAGTTAAATAAGGCACAAGGACAAGAATGTCATATTTTTTTTTTCTGCATTCTCACTCAAAAATGTGGTAGAGATGTTGTAGTTGAAAGCTAGGCACGATATCTGTGCCTTGTGACCCAACACATCCAGTTTCAGCAAACTTCTAATTAGTTGCCATTCATGACATGCATGTGAGGGGCAGTTAGTCCCAGAAATGGGGTCCTGGAGCCCACACACAGGGGACATGCATGTGAGGGGCAGTTAGTCCCAGAAATGGGGTCCTGGAACCCACACACAGGGGACATGCATGTGAGGGGCAGTTAGTCCCAGAAATGGAGTCCTGGAGCCCACACGTGAGGGGCAGTTAGTCCCAGAAATGGGGTCCTGGAGCCCACACGTGAGGGGCAGTTAGTCCCAGAAATGGGGTCCTGGAGCCCACACGTGAGGGGCAGTTAGTCCCAGAAATGGGGTCCTGGAGCCCACACGTGAGGGGCAGTTAGTCCCAGAAATGGGGTCCTGGAGCCCACACGTGAGGGGCAGTTAGTCCCAGAAATGGGGTCCTGGAGCCCACCCACAGGGGACATGTATGTGAGGGGCAGTTAGTCCCAGAAATGGGGTCCTGGAACCCACACACAGGGGACATGCATGTGAGGGGCAGTTAGTCCCAGAAATGGGGTCCTGGAACCCACACACAGGGGACATGCATGTGAGGGGCAGTTAGTCCCAGAAATGGGGTCCTGGAACCCACACACAGGGGACATGTATGTGAGGGGCAGTTAGTCCCAGAAATGGGGACCTGGAGCCCACACACAGGGGACATGCATGTGAGGGGCAGTTAGTCCCAGAAATGGTGTCCTGGAACCCACACACAGGGGACATGTATGTGAGGGGCAGTTAGTCCCAGAAATGGGGTCCTGGAACCCACACACAGGGGACATGCATGTGAGGGGCAGTTAGTCCCAGAAATGGGGACCTGGAGCCCACACTTGAGGGGCAGTTAGTCCCAGAAATGGGGTCCTGGAGCCCACACACAGGGGACATGCATGTGAGGGGCAGTTAGTCCCAGAAATGGAGTCCTGGAACCCACACACAGGGGACATGTATGTGAGGGGCAGTTAGTCCCAGAAATGGGGTCCTGGAGCCCACACACAGGGGACATGTATCTAAGGAGGAACTAGTCACAATCAATGAAATAACACTGAGTCTGTTAACAGTTGGGTATTTGCTAGTTTGTTGTAAACAGAATTGTTAGAAAAACATGCCTGAGGAAACTGTTGAATATTAAATGGGATGAATTCAAGAAGAGTGCAACGAACCTTGGCTTGCAACGTCTCTGCTTTCGCCACGATTCGACCTAATATGATTACTGCAACATATCTACTTGCACTGCTCTAACGTCTAGGATTGATAACACAAGCGGCTCTCAGTTCCTTTATACATTTATGTCAGTTTATTTCGATCACATTCTTCCACATTGTTCCAATAATTATTCCAACATCCACGAATCATTCTCAAGACATTAAAACTACATCTTCTATTAACACGACTGTCTTCTACGACTTTCGGTAAGCAACCGACTCCCTTGAATTCTCTGATGCGACTGACCACGAGTCTAGCTCGAGAATGCACATGTCTACTCAACTGGCCCTAAGAATCTAGTGCGGTTGTTTGTCGCACGGATTTTCCGCTTGGCTCGCTGTGAGCGTGGAGACCGTGCAAAGCAGGGTCATCACAAAGGGTGAAGAAGTCAGAGAAATGTCTGTGCAACTCACGGGTGTCAGCATTATAAGACAAAGTAGGTGGCACTTAGCACCTGTGAGAAGAAGCCAGCAGAGAACCACCCAACAGGCACTGATGTGGGAAACAAATGAGTATAGGGAATAAGGACATTCAAGAGATACCCTAAAATGAACATTGATGAGAGAAGCCATAAAGTTTCGGACTAGAGTCCTCCTCGGAAATTGACAGGATTGCACTTAATGGACAGGAATGAGGTGGGTGGGGGAATAAACTGTGAGTCCCATGTGACATATAATGATTGTACAGCAGAATGATGATGATGAGGTAAACTCTGTTGCTATTAGACATTGATGTGTGGGGAAACTGGCAATTGTGTGTGAGAGGTGGATATACTAACCCTGCGACATTGATGTGTGGGGAAACTGGCAGGTGTTTGTGAGAAGTGGATACTCTACATCTGAGACATTGATGTGTGGGGAAACTGGCAGGTGTGTGTGAGAGGTGGATATGCTAACACTGCGACATTGATGTGTGGGGAAACTGGCAGGTGTGTGTGAGAAGTGGATACTCTACATCTGAGACATTGATGTGTGGGGAAACTGGCAGGTGAGTGTGAGAAGTGGATAAGCTACATCTGAGACATTGATGTGTGGGGAAACTGGCAGGTGTGTGTGAGAAGTGGATATACTACATCTGAGGCATTGATGTGTGGGAAAACTGGCAGGTGTGTGTGAGAAGTGGATGAGCTACATCTGAGACATTGATATGTGGGGAAACTGGCAGGTGTGTGTGTGTGTGTGAGAAGTGGATGCGCCACATCTGAAACATTGATATGTGGGGAAACTGATAGGTTTGTGTGAGAAGTGGATAAGCTACATCTGAGACATTGATATGTGGGGAAACTGGCAGGTGAGTGTGAGAAGTGGATATGCTACATCTGAGTCCTTGATGTGTGGGGAAACTGGCAAGTGTGTGCGAGAGGTGGGTATACTAACCCTGTGACATTGATGTGTGGGAAAACTGGCAGGTGTGTGTGAGAAGTGGATATGCTACATCTGAGACATTGATGTATGGGGAAACTGGCAGGTGTGTGTGAGAAGTGCATATACTACATCTGAGACATTGATGTGTGGGGAAACTGGCAGGTGTGTGTGAGAAGTGGATATACTACATCTAAGACATTGATGTGTGGGGAAACTGGCAGGTGTGTGTGAGAAGTGCATATACTACATCTGAGACATTGATATGTGGGGAAACTGGCAGGTGTGTGTGAAAAGTGGATAATCTACATCTGAAACATTGATATGTGGGGAAACTGATAGGTTTGTGTGAGAAGTGGATAAGCTACATCTGAGACATTGATGTGTGGGGAAACTGGCATGGGAGTGTGAGAAGTGGATATGTTACATCTGAAACATTGATGTGTGGGGAAACTGGCAAGTGTGTGAGGGGAGATGGATGTGCTACATTTGCAGCCATCCAAGAGTTGTTATTAGACCCTTTGCATGTGTTATTCACTCATCATCAGCCCCAGGGCCCATTTTTGGACCAAACGTGTTGTAAAAGATTTGATTAGGGCTGTTTCTTTTTAAGTCTGGGAACATCTACTGGAGAGGTGAAGAACAGTCTGCCTATAAATAAGCCAGATCTGTAAAACGGATGTGTACAGAAGTTCTGGAACAAGTGCAGAAGTGGCTGAATAACCAGAACTTTGTGTTGAAGGTCACAGCTAGTAAATAAAATACCAAGAAAGAGAAGAAGAGACATTTGTTAACAGACATACTAAAGTTTTCCGTGGATACTGTTTACAGATTGTAGGACTCAGTGGCTGATTTAAAGATGGCAAACAGAATCAGAAATTGGTTCGTTGATCAAGTGGGGAAAAATCTGAAGTTACCACAGAGCTGGACTGCCTGGCTGGATCGCATGTGTAAGTATCTTATAAACAGTGGAAAAGGTTGGGGAGGGAGGAGGAGTAGAAACAATGGGAGATATCCCTCTTTCCTTGACTGGATCACATGTGTAAGTATCTTATAAACAGTGGGAAGAAGGAAAGAGGGAATATGAAAGTGAGAGATTGTTTCCTTGACTGGATCACGTGTGTAAGTATCTTATAAACAGTGGGAAGAAGGAAAGAGGGAGTATAAAAGTGAGAGATTGTTTCCTTGACTGGATCGTGTGTGTAGTATCTTATAAACAGTAGGAAGAAGGAAAGAGGGAGTATAAAAGTGAGAGATTGTTTCCTTGACTGGATCGCGTGTGTAAGTATGTTATAAACAGTGGGAAGAAGGAAAGAGGGAGTATAAAAGTGAGAGATTGTTTCCTTGACTAGATCACGTGTGTAAGTATCTTATAAACAGTGGGAAGAAGGAAAGAGGGAGTATGAAAGTGAGAGATTGTTTCCTTGACTGAATCATACATTTAGGTGTATTTTAATCAGTGGAGAAGAGGAGTGAAGTTAGTTAGGTTATCCTCATTGGACATCAAACCTTTCAGTGCATAAGAAAGAGCTTAGATCCCCTCATAAATCCTGCAGCATGAAGCGGCTGATGACACGAGTCCTGTGTTGTTTGCTTATTTTTGTGTGTGTGTGTCGCTTCCTGCATAGTGCTCTTGTCTGGCCACACCCATTTTAACATGCTGTCTTGTGTGTGGTTGGTCATGGTTGCATTTTCACAATCATCACTTGGTTCTTGCAAACATCTCACTTCTGGTAGAGCGTTCAGTATATTAGCCTGGTCCTTGGCATGTCTGCCTTCCACAGTTGCTCTACCTGCAAGCCTATCAGCTTGCTCATTTCTTTGCACACCTGTGTGCCCTGGCACGAATATGAAACTGATATGCATCAGCTGCGACCACCTCAGAGACTCCAACCAAAGTCTTCGGACCCAACCCACCCCTGTCTTCTGAGACACATAGTACTCAATTTGCTAGAAAGTTGTAACTGCGATGACCTAATTACAAATGAGGCCAAACTGTATGTGATTACTCTCGGTCTTCCCCTCCATTTTCCCTGTCGTCGCAGTCTACTCCAGTTTTCCTTGTCCCCTTCTGATACTTGTTGTTCACTGAGTTATGTTACCAAAAAAAGGTTTCATAGCGCAGTCACTTATATATCAGATGTCTGACAATTGCATTAATTGGTAATTGGTCGCGTGAAAGCCATATAGGTCACATTTTTGTCTTCATGAGGGCTACACACGATAATTAGGGCTACACACAATAATGAGGGCCACATACGACAATGATGGCCACACACGACAATGAGGGCCATACATGATAATGAGGACCACACACGACAATGAGGGCCACACACGACAATGAGGGCCACACACGACAATGAGGGCCACATACGACAATGAGGGCCACATACGACAATGAGGGCCACACACAACAATGAGGGCCATACATGATAATGAGGGCGACACACGACAATGAGGGCCATACACAATAATGATGACGACACACGATAATGAGGGCCACACACGACAATGAGGGCCATACACAATAATGAGGGCCACACACAACAATGAGGGCCACTTACGACAATGAGGGCCACGCACGGTAATGAGGGCCATATACGACAATGAGGGCCAGACACGATAATGAGGGCCACGCACGATAATGAGGGCCACGCACGATAATGAGGGCCGCACACGATAATTAGGGCCGTACACGACAACTATTTGAAGTGATTTGAAACAAATTATTGCAGAATATGTTTTCCTGGGAGCTGCATGTTTGACATTCTTGATATAAACATTAAAGGTGTTACTTTTGAAATAAATATATTTGTGCTATGTTTTATGAGTGTATCTAAAGATTTTCTGTAAGTGATGAATGTTCCCCAGTTGCAGATGAGGGTGACCATAGTGGTGCAGTGGCTAGAATTTCTTGACTTCAAATCCTCAAAATGCAAAATGCATTTAAAAAATCGTCTTGGTGTCCAGGTCAACCCAGTCAAAAATGGGTATCAGCAGGGCTTTTCTGTCTCGAAACAAAGGTGCCGGTACTCATCACAAAGTGTTTGAAAAAAGTATTACTCACCATAAAGTCTTTAGTGTAGCGCCAAAAAAATTTTGTTTTTCAAAGGGTCGCAACTGTGTACTGTTGCGTACAGCTGAAAAAAAAGTCCTGGGTACCAGGAAATATGTCAAGAAGGATAGGAGGTCTATCTATGTTGATGACCTCATCCAGGGAGTGCCGACTAGGTATACAAATATGGATATCACACTATTTACCTGACTCTCTCATGACATAAACATGAAAATTTTTTTTTAATTACTTTTTTTATTTGAACAAAGAAGACAAATACAGTAGATTTCAATCTGTTTTGTCTTTTTTGTTCATGTTTCACAAGAGGCAATCATTGCTTTAATATTTATTTATTGCTGAAACAGAAATACTTTGAACGACGAAATGCTTTTCTGGAAACTAATGCGGTTCATCTGAGCAACATCAAACCAGATCATAAAGTACTGGAAATAGGCTTTGGACCAGGTCTGGGTCTGGAGGCAGCCTATAACATTGTGAAAAGTAAGTTGTTTGAAGCCTTGTCTTGTTGTTGAACATCTGTGTTCCATAGGTAAACACAGATATTTCTGGCTGGCTGGGGAATGATTGTGTGTTTGAAGCTGGCAAATGAATGTTTGTGTGGATTTTTGCAGCTGGCTGCTGAATGATTGTGTGTATTTGGGACTGGCTGTTAAATGATGGTGTGTTTGTTGGCTGGCTGTTGAATGATTGTATGTTTATAGCTGGCTACTGAATGATTGTGTGTTTATTGCAGATTGTGTGTTTGGCTTGTGGCTAAATGAGTCTGTGTTTTTTACTGGCTGCCGAATGTGAGTTTGTAACTGATTGTCTATGAATTTATAGCAGATGTTGAATGATTGTGCATGTATTTATAACAGATTATTGTATGATTGTACTGCACATGTGGCCTGACAACTGTTTATTGTTTCCAACACTGTTTTATGCAGCAGGTAGATCGTATTGTCTATGCGGGCTAAAGTCTGTTTCTTGTTTCTGCCACATCCCTCTTTTTTCATTTGCACCAGATAGATTGTACTGTCCCTGCTGTCCAAATCTATTTTTACCACTGTATTTTGTCCACCAGATAGCTTGTACTGTCCCTGCTGTCCTAATCTGTTTCCACCATTCTATTTTGTGCACCAGATGGCAAAGGTCAAGTGTTTGGAATCGACACCTCACTTTACATGGTCCAGAAGGCACACCGTCGACTGAAGGCGGGAGTTCATGACAAGAAAGTCTTTCTATTTCATGGCAGTGCCACACAGATCCCCCTCAACACAGACTCTGTAAACCGTGTCTTTCATTGTAACTGTTACTATTTCTGGCCCAGCATGAGGTCAGTGATGCGTGAAATCTATCGGGTCATGCAGCCAGGCGGAGTCATGGTGACAACTTTAAGTATAGACAACCTCAAAAAATCACAGGTTAGTATTACGTTTTTGGTTACCTGTATTGCTGTTTTTTTTTTCCATGTTTCCAGCTATAAAAATGTGGTTCTTGTATCAGAGTCCTTTTGTGGCTTCCAAAGTGTCATTTTGGGGTGGTGGGGGGAAATAGATCCACTGTCTCTTAACGGATCCACTGTCTCTTAACACGCATGTCATACAAGGCCACTCATGAAAGATCTGCTGAAGTCAGATGTGTTGGGCTAACCAGTTTGTGATAAAGTTGGAACACTGATAGTCTGGAATGTCTCAGACACCTGCCCTTTCTGTTTTTGTAAAAACTGAAAAGTTAGACATTTTTGTTTATAGTATACTTATTGACAGTCTTGTTGCATGGCAAGGAGGTCTGTCAGCACACAAACTGATACATGCTGCACGGATTGTGGAGAGGCATGATCGCCCCTGCCAGTCTGCAAGGCATCTGATTCTGATGATACTTAGTAGGGTTGTTTGTTACCGTCTACAGTAAAAAAAAAATGGCAGATTAAAAAAAAACCAATGTAATTAGAAAGAGGAGGATCAACACCAAGCACTATTATCAAGAACTTGGAGAAGAATATCTGCATAAATCAAAGTTTCAAATAACATAACATCCTTGGCTTTTTATTTTATATATAGTTTTAAAAAATATTTGATTTATAAGTGGAAGAAAATGTTATTATAACAGATTATTACAAGGACAAATGGACTCAGTTTAAAAAATGCATTAACCTTTTTCACCCTTGTGAAACTTAATTGCATCCTCCCTAAAGGGATTCGCTTCCCAGGTTGAAAACCAGTGGTCTGTAGGAACCTGTGATGATAATGTGGTTAGTGTGGTTGCTGGCAAAGTTAGTGATTTTGTGTCAATCCCAGTACTGGCAACATTCTGAATCTTGACCAGTAAGGCCCCGGGGTTGTCCCTTCTTTTCTATGTCAGTTTTAAGTTAGTCAAGTAACCCAATTAGTGGGCGACTTTGACAACAACAAAAAGTCAACAATGATAGTTTCAAGAGTTGACTATCAAGGACCTTTTTGTCTGCCATACCGGCACATGGCTCGTCTTATAGGCCCATGACAGATAAATCTATTCCGCATAAACCTAAACACTTACAGAGCACACAACAATCTTTAGTGGAAAGAACAAAACAGCAGCACACAGTTGACCTCAGAACTCATGGGTACCCTATCCGAAATCAAGGATGTGAGGGCTTTACAAATTCATTTGTCACTCCTGTCACATTCTCCTGGATAGTACTGGGTTCAATCCCACATCGTTTATGTACAGCTCTTATGCCTGCCGCTGAACTCAACACTTGGACCACGGAGCACCTGCTGAGTGCCGATGAAGTGGATGAGAACAGATCAGATCACAATAACCAATGCAAGCCAACCTTAGCTATTAGAATGATGATAATCAACAGGAAGAAGCTATACATAAATCCTACCTCTGTCGGTCGCGGTATAACACAAAGACACTGCTACAATCTAACCAAACACACAAACTATCGGTCTCTTCAACTCTAAGCAACATGCTACTATATAAATGTCAAACTAGCAGAAGTCACAGTCGCACGTTCTCGAATCGTTTCTTCACGATTACTCTGTGTCTGCTAGTTTTATTGCAGTCCACTGTTCAGCTCCCGACTTCGGGGGACTTGAGAATTCTCCTAAGCAAACAGTTCAGTCCATCATGCATTATACGGTCGTCTGTTTGTCAAGCTAAACTCTGGGTCATGTATCGGTCAGTTAGTACATACATGAACATTCATTACTATCCTTTCTTTCATCACATAGCTGCACTAGACCATGACACCGATGCTAGTAGTCAACAGATAGATGGACAAACAGACAAGTCTAACAGTCTATCCAAGACCACACCCACATCTCTTACATGCCATCCCTTCCCACCACTGTCACTCCACATCTCTGATTTGTCTAACAGCCTATCAAAGACTACACCCACATGTCTTACATGTCATCCCTTTCCACCAATGTCACTCCACATCTCTGATTTGTCTAACAGTTTATCAGAGACCACACCCACATGTCTTACATGTCATCCCTTCCCACCACTGTCACTCCACATCTCTGATTTGTCTAACAGTCTATCCAAGACCACACCCACATCTCTTACATGCCATCCCTTCCCACCACTGTCACTCCACATCTCTGATTTGTCTAACAGTCTATCAGAGACCACACCCACATCTCTTACATGCCATCCCTTCCCACCACTGTCACTCCACATCTCTGATTTGTCTAACAGTCTATCAGAGACCACACCCACATGTCTTAATGTCATGATGCCAGAATGTCTCACATGGTCTCCTTCAGCCTCCTGAAACTGGAACCAGATAACTCAACTGAAAGTGAAGGAAACTTATCAGGGGAGGCATTGGTGATACACCTCATGGTTGCCCTAGTGTATGTGAGAACCAAACAGTTTACATCGCAGCAGCAATATCTCTGGTGTGACTTGCTGAATCTGTGACTGTCTACAGGAGAGAGGCTTTCTCAGATCTGCTCACCCTGACCCGGTCATGTACATGCAGTCTTTGGAGAATTACGGGTTTGAGAACGTTCACCTGGAGTATCACACAGACCCTCAATCAGGTAATATTATCTGTTCTTTCACCATTTTGTTTTTGTTTTGTGTAATTGTATTGTATCTAATTACACCGAGGCTGTCATATTTATGACTTTTAGATCAGAAGGAGGCGATCTACGTTCTTGGTTCATTTCATGAGAAGGAGAAAACTGGAATACATCGTGATAGTGGGAAAGTTGGAGGGGAAGAGAGGCAGAGGGAGACCAAGAGAGAAGATGCTGGACAGTTTGCCGTCATGGAAGATCATCTGTTTTTGATCGGAAGTACACGAGACAGAAGGTTGTGGGTAGACATGACTTCCAATGCCACATAACATGGACTTTAAGAACAAGCAACAGACACATCTGACTTTGAGCATTTGTTGACCAGTTGAGACTCCACATTGGCTGGTGATCTAGTCTTAGGATTACTGATGAAATACATGATAAATTGTTGTGTTACTTGTTGGCACCCTTGGATGCAGGAAAAAGAAGTTGAGACATGAGGACATGCTAGACAACATAGAAATCAAATGTTGAAGTTGAGACACCAGAGATCCAACCTGATGAAAGTTTATATTTAATTGATGAAATGGCTGTCTAATGGTGTGTATGCAAGACAGCCTGGGAAGTTTTGTTACAGAAATGGTCCTGCTGACTTGGACTGTCTGTGCAAGGTTTTCCCTAGATGTTAGTGAATGTGTTCCACAATTTCATCCTCGAGTACAAGAGAGTGATTTCTGCAGCAGAAGGTTTACTTAAAAAAAAAAAAAAAAAACGTTTTTGGACAATAGTACAGGTCACATAGTTCCACTAGACCAAGAGGTGAAGTAAAAGATGCTGGCACTGGATACGACCTACATTGAGAAAAGCTGGTATAACTAGGTTTAAACCCCCCCTCCCCGATGTAAACATTTTCCTTCACATATAAAACCATTGTCCACATTGTCTGTAATGTTCTTTTTATTCAAGTGTAAATAGGAAGCTTATCTGGCCACCTCCAGCAGATACACACTAATCTACAGATTCCTGGAACAGCTGCAGGGGATCTGCCCTTTCATAAGAGTGGCATTCGCCTGCCAAAAGTAGATAAATGAACAGCTTTTGGACTTAATAAAAACATGGTTGTTGAATAATTGGTCCTGGAAAATTTGTCATTTTTCCTTTGATGCAACTCTCATACATGCATGTCTGTGTATACATTCCCTTATATAAAAGAATATGATCCTGTATCCATCTTTATATCTACCAGTATCCACTAAGTGGGTAATGTACATAACATGTGGGCCACCTTTTCTTCCGTTACACTTCCTGGTACCCATTTTAAATTAGGTTGAACTGGGTGCTTAGATCAGTTCTAAACAACCCACCTAGATTTAGATTTGATCCCAAGACCTTTAGATCAGCCATAGCAGCTAAGGCCTATCCCCAATGCTAATCATCAAGTTAGGTTTCTCCAATATAACTTGTTTCTTGTATTCACGCGACCTTTTGTTTTTCTTCAGGCAAAAAGTTTCAGGCAATTTTCTCTGAAATCAACGAAAAGCCAGCTCATGATCCATCCATGTACAACGATGACGAAGACGACATTGAGAAGGAGCTACAGAAGATGTTCGAGTCCAGAATCGCAGAGCGCAAACAGTTTCATGATAAACGGTTACCTGACGACAACAAATCTCCGTTAAAAACAGACTTGAACATTACACCAGGAACTGTTAAGTCATGAGCTGAACTGAAATCTATGTTTTGAGTGCCTCAAATGCTTGATATTTATTAAATTAAGATTTATATATGAGAGTTTTGTTTGTTTTATTATAGTATTGTTCTCAGGAGCCTGGTTCTATTGGCACTTTTCCATCTTTCCGCTGGTTCTATTGGCACTTTTCCATCTTTCCGCTGGTTCTATTGGCACTTTTCCATCTTTCCGCTGGTTCTATTGGCACTTTTCCATCTTTCCAGATGATAATGTTATAGAGAGGCAGGCAAATCACAGCCAGTGTGACTAGCAAGATCTGCTCATTTAAAAAAAAAAAGTCTTTCACAGTTACAGCATAGAATTTTAGAACCAGTGTTTCCTTTGCGTATGTTTTAGCATCAGATGCTCAGCTCTTAAAATCTATCGGACAGTTATTTATCTCCTTTATTCCTATTCCATTCCTGTTTTTCCCCTCCTTGCAACTTGATCCATGGCATTCCTTTCACCTCAATACCTGTACCAGTCATGTCCCTCTTGCACACATCTTTTATATCGTAGTAGAGGCTGACCTTGACATCTTTGTAGAGACTCTAGTATCCTGCAAGTGTATCCTGGCCCCATCTGAACCTTCTAAGAAAGAGCACTGAAAGAACTTGTAGTTTGTAGGTGAATGATGAGAACAGCATGGACAAATAAAAAAGAGTGTGCTGGATACTTTCCATCTCGGTGGCACATTAGGAAAAAGATGCTTGACTTAGTTGTGTGGGTCTCCATGCAGAAACTGGCCAGCAGTGTGTGCTCTCCCAGCAGAACCTGCCAGCAGTGTGGACTCTCCCAGCAGAAACTGATGCCAGCAGTGTGGACTCTCCCAGCAGAACCTGACGCCAGCAGTGTGGACTCTCCCAGCAGAAACTGATGCCAGCAGTGTGGGCTCTCCCAGCAAAAACTGATGCCAGCAGTGTGGACTCTCCCAGCAGAACCTGATGCCAGCAGTGTGGGCTCTCCCAGCAGAACCTGATGCCAGCAGTGTGGGCTCTCCCAGCAGAACCTGATGCAAACCATGTGGGCTCTCCCAAAGCATCTATAGCCCAGTATTCTATGATGTGGATTCTTAAACCAGTAATCTTCTGAGCTTTGAGCACACTCTGGAACAAACTCTTGACCTAAGACTGCTGGGTTGTTGTACTGACAAACATTGATATCTTCTGTGGGTGGTTAGAAAACTGTATTGTGGTTTACAGCTAGGCTGCATTATCTGTGCCTTTCTTTCCCTACACATCTGACTTCCACAAGCCCCTAAATAGTCACCTTTCACATACTGGCTTTTAGGGGACAAAAGGGTTTTCTCCCCCCCCCACCCCCCCCCCCCTCCCCCCCAAAAAAATGGAGCCATTGGAGAAAACTCAAATACAGATCTGATATGGAGAATTAATCAGACACAAGAAATAGTTCTTCTAATAAGAAATTCCTCTTATCCAGTTAAGAATTCAAGCAAGAAGTGTTCTTCACAACAGAAATTTTTCACATCCGAGATTGCCTTAAGCAGTCTGCTCTGTATTACTTGGATCATTTGACAAACCATGAAATGTGCAAGCATGTTGTCTGTTGGGATGAGTAGCCACAAAGCAAAACCTGACAGCTGGTTTGATTAGTTGGCAAAACAAACCAACTGACAAACACTGATGCAGTCTGTCAGGGTAAAACATTTACAAAACAAAACCTGATGCAGAGTTTCGGGGTGAAATTGACAAAACGAACCCTGATGCAGAGTTTCGGGGTGAAATTGACAAAACGAACCCTGATGCAGAGTTTCGGGGTGAAGCTGAAAACAAACCTTGACACTGATTATCAGGGTGAAAACATTGAAAAAAAAAAACTTGACAGACTTTCAGGGTAAAACACTCAGAAAACAAACTCCAACACTGTCTTTCAGAGTGAAATATTAACAAAAGAAATCTTGACACAGGCTTCAAGGTAGAACATTCACAAAACAAATGTCAACAAAGACTTTTAGGGTAAAACATTCACAGAAGTAAAAAAGTTATAGAAACATCTGGTGTTTAATTAAGAGACAGAATGTTATGCTACAAGTGACCAAACAACGGCAGCAGTGGTAGAAAACAGCAATGATCATATCTGTACAAATCTGTGCCTGCCACCAGTCTAACAAGCAGGTCATGTCTATGTACACAAGACAGCTTTATGTACACAAGGCATCTTTGTATACACAAGGCAATTTTATGTACACAAGATAATTTTATGTGGATGCCAAAAGTTTTCTCTTCTGCACAAAAGGCATCTTCATGCGCACAAGGCATATTTATGTGCATAAATCTAAACAAGGCATATTTATGTGCATAAATCTACACAAGGCATATTTATGTGCATAAATCTACACAAGGCATATTTATGTGCATAAATCTACACAAGGCATATTTATGTGCATAAATCTACACAAGGCATATTTATGCACATGAATCTACACAAGGCGGTATCTTTATGCACATACTACACAAGGCATCTTTATGCACATAAATCTACACAAGGCATCTTTATGCACATAAAATCTACTCAAGGCATCTTTATGTACACAAGACAGCTTTATGCTTTCTTGACAGCGGACACAGCTACTGGCTTTTACACGAGAACTGTTCATTTTTTATGTAGAACATATTTAAGTTATCATACATGTACACAACATAACTGTTAACAATCTGCAGCAGACATGTTAATCGATAACAATTATACATGCACAACACACATACAGTGGTGGAAAGACCACCTAGTAAATAATTCATTTCGCCTGTACCATTGTTATGGAGTATTGCATCCACTGATATTTTAGGCTCACAAAAGGCATACAAGATCAACATTTGTGCAAGCATGACATGAATGATACCAGAATTGAGGTAGGAACAAAATGTCATGAATCTTGTTGAGTGGAAGGGGGATAGTGAGCAAGAAAATGAGAAGAAACACACTAAATACATGTGACGATAATAACGGTCATCTTCATCTTCTTCTTCTTCTACGCGTTCACCAGCTGTAAACTCTGGCGGAAGGTTCTGGTTGTTCGTCCACTACTGAGCTGCAGTCCTGCTCCAGAAGCTGAGTGTTGCGTGTGCATCAGTTTTACAGATCTCATTCTCTTGAATACAGACTGTTGGTTCCTTGCCTCTCCGGCAGATGCACTCTGACTTCAAAGGAAGCTCCCCAATTAGTTCGACTCTTACGACATGCTTTTGGGGAGGCAGTGGGTCTATTCTTGTTTTCCCCACAATGGGGCCCCAGAACTCACACGGGGGTACAAGGGTCATAAAATCCCAAGCTCTGATTGTGGAAGACTTCTCAACACAGACAGGTCTCGCTAGTCACCCTTGCTACACCATGGGTTGTGATTCCCGTGTCTTCCCACAGTACAATTTAACATTATCATCTGGAAAGACGGAAAGGTATCAAAGACAATACTAGCAGTTGAGGCAATACTCTATAACAGTATTGAAATATCTACCAGATGGTCTAAAACTTCTGGCCACCGCTGCTTATCATCAGTAAACACATGCTATATCATGAAACTTGTATATCATTACATTTCATATTTATTTACGCAATAGACACACAGGAAGAAACAAGTAACAATCATTTTTTAACGGTCAGAAAAGTAAAATTGACATTAATGTTACAAAATCTGTCACCCTCTGTAAAAAAACAAGCTTTCAGTTTGCATAGATGCAGATGTCTGTGACAGTGATAGATTAACTTTTGCAGCAGTATACATAATAAACAGTTATCTGTTAACTATACATTTGACTAAAGGCAAGAATGTGAGCCAGCACTTGGGGAAAGCACACATGTGAGCCAACATTCAGTTTTGAGGGGAAGGGGGTGGGGGGGACACATGTGAACCAACATTCAGTTTTGAGAGGAGGGAGTACACATGTGAGCCAACATTCAGTTTTGAGGGGAGGGAGAACACATGTGAGCCAACATTCAGTTTTGAGGGGAGGGAGAACACATGTGAACCAACATTCAGTTTTGAGGGGAGGGAGAACACATGTGAACCAACATTCAGTTTTGAGGGGAGGGAGAACACATGTGAGCCAACATTCAGGGAGGGAGAACACATGTGAGCCAACATTCAGTTTTGAGGGGAGGGAGAACACATGTGAGCCAACATTCAGTTTTGAGGGGAGGGAGAACACATGTGAACCAACTTTTACTGAATGCTTACATGTGAGCCACTGTATGTAAACTTGAGGCTATATATCCGAGTTACCAATCGTGAAAGGCGTCTGAAAGATTTAAGAAGAGACCAGTTCAAAAGAGGAAAGTCATGGATGCCACAAGCTAAAGACACCAATTGGCGGGGGGGGGGGGGGGGGGGGGGGGGCTCAAGCCGAGCAAATTCAAGGTGGGGGGTCCAGTAGTTTGCATGTCTCGATACCACTTTCAAACTTACCACAAGGCAGTTTGCTGCCAAACTGCCTGCATCTGGGATCAAACTGAGTATCTCAGAATTACAAACCATGTTTGCAACCCCTAAGACATGCACACCAACTACAAAATTCATCATCTGTCCTAATGTGTGCCTTGTAAACGGTTTTCTCTGTCCAACCACATGTGCCCTGTATGTTTGCATTATGTACACACCTGTAGCCTAGGTATTGCAAACAAGCTTCCTGATGCTGGGGTGTCAGGTTCGATCCCAGCTGTGGACGGTTTGTCTTGCGATGGTTTCGACAATGGTACCCCCTCCCCTGATCTGTGATTCTGGTGATCGTGTGAGATGGCAAAATATGCCTATGCTTACTGGCACGACACATGGTGATGATATTATCTCAAGTATACACTCACTTTACTGTATTCAATGTACACTCACTGATGTCTTAAGTACACACTTCCAGGGTGGGGGAATAGACCACTGGCCCTGAACTCTCTCAGTACCATCAGCAGGGTTCACATGAGATGCCAAAGTAAAGAAATAACCATGATGAACAAACACGAACGCATTACTTTCCATGGGCAGTCTG